GACGATACTGCTATTATAGCTCGTGGTACTAGCTGGATGGAAGCGCGTTCATGCGCGGAAGCTGCTCTGAACATAGTTCTGAAGTGGCTAAATTCAAATTTGCTTACCCTTAACACACAGAAAACTAAATATATTACTTTTGCTCCCAGAGTTGCATCCCAGCCGGATTTCTCCTTTGAAATGATTGCACACAGATGTAACAGAATAATGGACTATGGCTGTGACTGTCCTAATATTACTAGAACACATAACATAAAATACCTTGGCGTGTTAATAGATAGCACTTTGTCTTGGAATAATCAGGTCGATTCCCTCGTCTCAAGGGTTAGAAAACTAATTTTTGTGTTAAGAAATTCCGCCGATTTCAGTATACTAAAGGTCATCTATTTTGCCTTAGTACACTCTATCTTAACATACTGCATTACCGCTTGGGGCAATGCTGGTAAGAGTTTCTTTCTTCGATTGGAAAGAGCTCAAAGAGCTGTACTAAAAGTTATGTCCCGTAAGCCCCTGTATTTCCCGACAAATACTTTCTACGCTATTTGTAATTTACCAAGGGTGAGACACTCTTTTGTGTTAAATACTGTGCTTCGTAAACATGCTACCCTGGTGTATGACCCTAGCCTGACAAAACAAGGACGTCGGTCTGATAGAGTGTGCAAGTTAGAGACCTGCAGCCTTGGTGTGGTGAGTCGACAGTATAGATTCCTGAGCCCAAAATTGTATAACAAGGTAAATAGAGTTCTTGCCATTTACAGGCTTTCTTCAAGAGAATGTAAAGCTTTGGTTGACAATTGGCTATATACGCTTACTTATGAGCAGATAGAAGACTTTCTGAGTAGATAGTAACGGAGGATAACCTCAGCTTATTCCATTAAGCTGCACACCCACAATCACACACAATCACACTCACACTCTCTCTCACACACACACACACACACACATACCCATGCGCACACGCATAAAATGCATTTAAATGATTTGTTAATTTAAGTACGTTAAATTAAATTTAAATCATTAATAATATTTATTGTTAGTTTGTCATATGTAAGGAACTCCAATGTACTCTCAGAGGTGGATGATAATAGTTGCGACACAGTTTTTATAACTAATGCAATTATTATCATACACATTTGTATTCACTGTTTTTGTTCCAATAAAATATATTTCATTTCATATATTCCAGTAACCCGAGAAGAGGCTGCCCAATCAAAAAATGTCCCGGCGTTAGAGCTTCGAGATCATTCGGATCACTGCTAAGCGGAAAGATAAATCGTAAATTTAATAAAGATGTGATTCTCCATTTGGAATGGGCTCACTATAATGTAGGCCAACTGCGGATTGGGTCCAGTAGGGGAGGGCCCCTATATTACCCAAGGGAACATCCATACAACTTTAGCGCCCTTTGGATTTAATTTACGCACGTCCTCGAGCCTCGACTTCTTCCGTGTGATTGAATAATGTTTGTGTGGCCGCGCAATAGATACTCAAAGGGACGCGCGCACGATTATCAGCACGCATCCCTTTGATGTACTTTACCGATTACTCATGATTACAGGCAATGATGGCCACTCATGGACGATTATGCCCTCCACACAATCATACCTGTCTATTTTATATTATTGCGTGGATAGCAACCCATCATCGCGACAATAATTGCCTCTTTTTTAATTGCCCATCATTGACAATATGAAAAGGGGCCATTAAGATGCCAATGAATTTCGCGAGATGAGAGATGTGAGATTGAACCTCCCTTATGAGTTTCCATCATGTGCGTTGACCAAGGAACTTATATACTAACTGGAATGCTTACGCGACCCTCAAAATCGTTCCAAGAGCATAGCTGAATTAGTGGAATTTGTCTCGTTCTAGTAGTGTGCCCAAACAGGTGAAAGAGAGGGACCGATTCCACTTTCGTCGTGTCGCGCTAGGAGTATTTTTCCCCCTTATATGGACTTTTTAAATAACTAGTTACAGTACATTTTTTTTTATTTCCCATATTGTTTCGTAAGCATTCCAGTTAGTATATAAGTTACTTGGCGTTGACAAAGTGTTTTCACAGACAAAATTTCTGTAAATATAGAAAAATCGCTGCCAATGTTGTCGATTCTAGCGTGATTCTCTAAACCTAAAATTAAATTTGACAACAGCTTATCCTTGCCATTCTCTAAACAGAATGAAAAGGAGAGACTGATCTTAAATGTAGTTTTAAGTTTAGAGAAACACGTCTGAATCGAAACCATTATTTATTTTAATAACTGATGCCTACTATTAGCTCTTTTTTTAAACCTACTCCGAAAGGGGGAATTGGTTTAAACTTTACACTGAGAACATCTTGTATGTCTTTATACACTAGCCCCCTTTTTAATAAACAAAGACTACGCTTGGATTAGTTACTTCATGTTTTGTCTCGGTCTATTGAATACACAGAACACATATACCCAAGGCATGGCATTTGAGTGACATGAACAAAACACGGCGTAACTAGTCTAAGCTTATTCCTTGTTTATTAATAAGGGGATACGACACTAGTCACTTCTCTATTAATTCCTCTGCATAAATAAACTATGCAAACATAAAAATAATATGTTCTTTCTCACCAAATAATTAATCACTATTATTTGAATATCAAATTCAATATTTTAAGTTTAAAGAATTATGACAGCTTCATATCTAAAATCGATTTACACGATAAAAAAAATATTATTTCACATCCTTAACCTTAACACTAGTCGTAGGGATGTTAATCGATAGCAAAGTAATCGATTATTCGATAATCGATTATATCTACAGTGTCGATTACAATTAATCAATTAATTGCACTTATGATCTAGATTAATATCGATTAATCGAAGAAAAATTCCATACTTTGTAAGAAAATAAATGTTCCGCAGAAATACAAAAAAAAATACATGAACTCTAATTACAAATAAAAGAATTACAATTTTAAAATAAGAATGTTTATTTAATCACTAACATTTCCGTTGAGATTCATGTATGGATGACAGAAAAATTAACATCGAAAGATGAGGACTAGTCAATCTTTTTCTCATGTCGGTGGCGATTTGCCCAGCTTCTGAAAATAGTCTTTCAGAAGGCACAGGCGTGGAAATGATTGATAAATGTCTGATTGCTACTCTATAAATATTTGGATATTGGTTTTTAATAATACCCCAGGCTATTTATGGGTTTTGTTTTTGGGATTTATTTCTATGTAGGTACTTAACATAATTTCCGACGCAATGGAATATTATTTTTGTGGATTAAATGACTAATGACTATGGTCTTTTGCCACATGAACATTTTGTTCCAGTTTGACATCTAGAAGAAACATACGTAGCTTCAACTGCATAAACGTTACGTAGGGGAGCCCAAGCGGGGATTTTTGGATTTATTCGAGCGCGTCAGAATAACATATGGGGAACAACCTTGCACCTAGTTAAGTACTCCCACCATACCTGAGCCCTCTATGTAGGGCCGAACGTCTAGGACAGCAAAAACAAAATTTCAACGAACGGTCATGACTTTTGGTCATGCCCAAATCGTCAGTCTTTTGAATATAAGCTACAAGAGGGTTCATGTAACGTTTCTTAGAACAGAAAAATATTGATCTGCCGCAGTTTGCATGATATGGGGGTGGCGGAACGAAGTGGTAGAATGTAGGAAAAAATAACCGAGTGCGTCAGACATTGAGGAGAGATTTTTCGTGAACCCTACAGTAGCTCCTATTCAAAAGACTGACGATTTGGACCCGACCAAAAGTCATGGCCGTTTGTTGAAATTTTGTTTTTGCTGCCCTAGACGTTCAGCCCTACATAGATGGCTCAGTTATCGCGGGAGTACTTAACTAGGTGCAAGGTTGCTCCCCATATGTTATTCTGCCGCGCTCGAGTAAATCCAAAAATCCCCGCTTGGGCTCCCCTGCCATTATACATTATTACATATAGACAGAGATGGTTTTAAAGACTAAAGTAACAGTGGGTATTGTATGGACAAAGCTGTCGGCTGTCGAAGCTTGTTATGATGATTTTTGAGACGTGTTTCATGTTTAGGCATTGTTAATATATGAACTGATAAGACCATAATGAAGGTCATTGCGAATCGATTAATCGATGTAAAATAATCGATTATTTTAATTTATAGATTAATCGATTAATGCGCAAAATTTTACAAACGGTTAATCGATTAGTCGATTAATCGAATCGAAATCGAACATCCCTAAGAAATATTGGCAAGAAAAAAGGAAAACTAAAGGAACATGGCATGCGGAAATCCAAAATACAATACCGAAAAAATCGTGGCATTATAAATTAAAAAACCCAACAAGAAAGTACATTACTACGATAAACCGAATGAGAATTGGTCATGGAAGATTTCGTGAACATTTACACAGAATCAAACTAAAAGACTCAAACAGATGCAGATACTGGTATCGATTCTGACATGATTCTCTAAACCTAAACTTTAATTTGACATCAGTGTATCCTTGTCACTCTCTATACAGAATGAAAAGGAGAGACTGATGTTAAATTAAGTTTTAAGTTTAGAGAATCATGCCAGAATCGACATCACTGTAATACAAATAATGTTGAATCCTTGCAACATCTTAACTTGGACTGCCCTGCTTTTCATAAACAGAGGATGTTACTGATAGATGGCTTAATTCAGATCTACCAAAACTGCAGCATTCCCAGCCAATTGCCATTTATCTTAAAAAACACAAATATATACCCTACCCTATATAATTACGTGATTAACACCTTTGAAGATATATAAATAAAACAAAGAAGCTAGAGATACCGATTATTGAAAGGCCGAAATGGTGAAAACTACGGCTACGAAAAAACACAAATATATACCCTACCCTTTATAATTACGTGATTAACACCTTTGAAGATATATAAATAAAACAAAGAAACTAGAGATACCGATTATTGAAAGGCCGAAATGGTGAAAACTACGTCCGTAAAACATGAATTAAAAAAAAATCAACGTCAACAACAAACAACATACAACAATCCTCTGTGTACGGCTGTGGTTGACGCCCAAAATAAAAATATTTCTGTCCGTGCGTTGTGAAGTTGTATTAAAGAAATAAATATTATGGCGCGCTAGATGTTGCATTATATGTGTATTCAATATATATAAATAATTAAGAAATAACTGTAAAGTAAGAACCTGTGTAATATCGTATGTCAGTAAACTAAACACATACGATCACGAATTCAACTACAAAAATTTGGGATATTAAATTTTTTGTAGTCTTTTATGTATACGGACATATATAAAACGGGAAAAAATGGTTTCTACTAGAGGCTTACGCTATAAATTCAGTGAAGGCGAACGTGTACTGTGCTATGAACCAGATCCAACAAAGGCAAAAGTCCTCTACGATTCTAAGGTAATGTTATATTTCTTCTTACTTCTGGTAATTTTAGTAATGACTTTTTTGGTAGAATAATAGGTAATAAGATATTACTTAAAAATTTATGAAATGTTAACAGAAACAAAAAGTAAACAACCAAAAATTTCTTATGATGATTGCCTCTGATAAGTTACGTAGGTAAAAATATAGATTAGTGGACATGACCGGCCGGTACTACTCCCACTCCGCGGTAGTGTACAGTTTCTGATATATTCTTGGTTAAAATTTTGAGTTTAGAACTGTAGGTATACCATAATATATAACCATAACCTAACCCAATGATTATTATATCAAAATGAAGTGTGTGAATGGTTGAATGGTATAGTCATAGCCATAAAATAACAGTCCTATAACTCAATGTCCAGTAATCTATATTTTAGCTGATTCTTAATTGAAAATATATCGTCATTTGTTTATTACTTGATTTTCATTTTTATTATGAAATTTTTTTATTATTATGAAAAAAAATTTTTGGAAGAATTGTTTTCATGTAGTACACTAATAATTTTATAAAACAATGAATCTTACAAAGGTAACTAATTTATTATATTTGACATTCACATGAAGTTGAGGACACAGTAAATTATATATACTGTACTTCCTGGGCCCAAGAGTAGAAACTTCACAATTTAGTTCATTACAACTTCACAGTGTTTTGTTGAAAAGGTTTGTGATATTTAACCACATTATTAAACAAAGTGTCCAAACCTATGCCCTGGTAGTATTTTTAAAAAATAAATTAACCATACGAATCCCTTAGAAAAACTATTAAAAGCTTTTAATTATGTGTAATATCATAATAATGATTAGTATATAAATATTATTGTTCTATAAATAAAACAAAATTCATGTGTGTGTTTGTGTGCATAGCCATTTTACTGACATTTTGTAACATCTTTTTACTTATAAAGGAAATTATCTTTCTTCGTATATTTAGTTTTTATGCCTACTTTTCAATCCAATTTTTCTACCAATTTAGGTACTTGAAGTAATTGAAAGTAAAGACAAAAGGGGGCGTCGCACAGTTGAGTACCTGATACACTTCCAAGGCTGGAATTCATCTTGGGACAGATGTGTCAGTGAAGATTTTGTGCTGAAAGATACTGAAGAAAACCGACAACTGCAAAGAGACCTTGCTGAAAAATCCCAACTTCAACTGTGAGTTAAAAACCATAATCCATTTTTAATAGATACTTTTTTATTATTTTCCCTTATTATTAGTCTATAATAATATTAAATCTTTATTTGATCAGTAGCTGTGACCCGCGGTTCAATAGGCATATTTTCCTGCAGTAAAACATAGCCTATGGGTTAATCCAAGGTGTCAGCTAACTCCATACCAAATTTAATTAAAATCCCTGCAGCTGTTTAGACGTGAAAAAGTAGGAAACATACACACTCACACACATACAAACTTTCGCCTTTATTAGTGTGACTCTTGTTTCATTTTATATTTGTTAGTGTGTTAGTAGTGAGTTTCTGAAAATAATTATTAAGTTTGTAGTGTTAATACAATTAAGTTCTTTCCATGATATGATCCCCTTGAAAGGTAAAAGCCTCCTCCAGACTGCTTCATTCTTCGCAGTTTCGAACAGTTTCCATTCAATTGTTTCCTAATATTATGATTAGGTCATCAATCAGTCCATCTATTCCTGGGTCTACTGACTTCTTTTTCCACATGGTCCATTCCATTTGGTGACCACTAGTGTCCATCATCCATCTTTAAATCTGACGGTATGAGCTGCCCAATGCCATTTCTGTCAATGTTTACTGAAGCATATCTGTCAATTGAGTTTGTTTCCTAGTCTATGCACTTCTTATCTTTTGCTATTTTTTAAGTTTAAGCATTCTATTTTCCATTGCTCTTTCACAGCTGGTTATTTTGTTGTAACTTTATTATTGTTAACCTAAGTTTGACTGCCATAAGTTAAATTAGGCAGTATGCAGGTTTTTTTCTAATATAGGGATGTCCCAGTTTAGGATTTCTTTTTGTGATCATTTTTCCATAAATATTTGTTCATCTGTACACTTCATATTCATTATTTGTATCTTTAAAAGAAGCTTGTTTACCAAATATATTTGTGTATTCGCTGACATATTCTATAAGGTCTACTTGTCATGTTTTTTTTTTTGAAAATAAAATTTTCTTGTGTATGAATAAAAAGCAGTATGGTTAGGTGGACAATCTGCCAACCTAGAAAGTTGAAGCAATAAAGCATATATGTCAATCCCGTCTTATTTTTTTTAGGAGGATTATGTATCAGAGATTGTTTTTTGAATTTTATGTATAATCCAGAGTAGTTTCTGAGAATGTTTTTTATTAAATTTATGTATATCCAAAAATTCCTTTACATAATTTTACTTGGCATATTGTTTCTAATCCAGGGGTGCTTATTTATACCGTCGCGAGCGTAAGAAGGGCGGCAGTACAGGTGCGGGGACGGGACCTGCCAAGAGGTCACGACAAGGGTTTAGCGACGACGGTTCCTCCAGCAGCACTCAGCCTGACGGTAATACATTTATTGACAACTGCCTAGACTTTTTCGTTTCCTTTATTCATTTTAACCAGTAGAAGGAATATAATCAAAAGAATAACTTAGTAATATAATAAAGGACAATGGGCAAAATTGTATGGACGCTGCACCCACGTCCGCCACGGTTTAAACTACATTTGTTTCAAAGGTATTATAGTCATAATCATCTGTGCCAAAGCGCATCAAATTCTATCCCGGGGGTCTTTAGTTATTTTAAGTTAAATAGGTGCAAGTTCATAGGTCAACGTAACTATTACTAACATAATATATATTAATGATACAAGGACGATTGTATAGGACGGATCGATTATTTGATGACCTCCGTGGTGGAATGGTATGTACGCCGGCATCATGTAATGGTATCATGGTGTCGCCGACTCGAGAGGTCCCGGATTCAAATCCTGGTGAGGGCAGATGTTTGTGTGATGAGTACGAGCATTTGTACTCCAGTCATGGATGTTTAATATGTATTTCTATATCAATATTCTTATATATGTACTGCATATGTATTCTATTCGTTACCCTAGCATCCCATAACACAAGCCTTACAGTGCTTACTTTGGGGCAAGGCTAATCGGTGAGTTTAAAAAAAGGAATTAATTATGAAACATTATTTCATTTCAAATATTTTTAATAATCTTCATCCACAGTGTCTAAGAAGAGAGCCGGTCTGTGAATATCCTCGTCATGTCTTGCCAGACATAAAAACCATATGACCACCATAACATGAGCACAGCAGCCTAAAGTGCAGTTTCCCGTTTAGCATGAGCATAATGAATAAAATAAGTAATAATGTTTTAATAAATTTATTCCATACTCGTCTTCATTTATCAATATATAGGAGTAATAGAGCTTAGACCTCGTATGCCTCGAATCTATTTTTGCTCGCAAAAGCCACAGATTTTTTTGGCAAGCACCGCAAGCACGGTTATTTCATTCAGCCAATGTCAAGTAAAAGATCCTTCTTTTACTTGACATTGGCTGAATGAATGCATATATGCAGAAATGCATTTAAATAGATCCGTAGATTTTTTATTGGCTAGTACGATTATAATGACGTACGTGATGATAATCGTGTTCCTATTTCCAAAGCGTGTTAGTTAAATATCAATGAAGTAACAGGGAGCGCACAAAAAGTAAGACATATAACTGCATAAGAGTAGACTAGTTGGAACGGCAACTGCAAATATCACATCCTTCAACCCCCATACTCTTACCCTGTTAAACGTTTTGAGGCGTCTCAGTAAGTGCAAGCAGCAAGCAAGCAGGATATTCGGTAGGCTTTGTTGTATAGTATTTTGTATCTGGTTGTATAGTAAGATATGACTCACATTATTATGGCTAATATTATATAACGAAAGTACTATTGATTTTGAATGAATTTATTTAGCTATTTAATAATGCCCATTTGTGCAACCGGCCGCCATGACTTACACACGACTGATGGTTTTCTTTAAGGTCTATGTGCGGAAACCTTAACCCCTAATATAGAACATGCCCATATGTATATCTTTTGACTCCCAGGATATTTTTTTACGGTGTCATAATAAAAAAGGCTAGTTTTTCATAGATCTATCGATTCATACTAATTACATTGTTGGCGGAGCTGGGTGCGTTTTGCCCATTGTCCTTTAAAAACTAATTTGCTTTAAAGTTCTAATATTGTCAATAAAAAGCAATGAGGAATTTTTTAAATTCAGGGAAATTAAAAAGCAATAATTTAATTAAAATGGTGCCTTTAAATAAGTCAACTTGTTTATTTTAACTTAGAGGAGATGGGGTGGCAGGACTGTTCCCATTCCTCACGTAAAATAGACACATAGTGTCTAGTTGAGGAAAACAGCCCACCGTAATACTAAGACTACATACAATTGCGCGTGTGTTGAGCACTGGCGCCTGTCGCCGTACGCAGAGATAGGCGGCGACAAGCCACCATTGCTCATCATACACGCGAAACTTTATGAAGCTCTATTACTTATGTGCTGAGCACAGACATATATCTAAAGACCGCAAGTGTATGTACTTCGTGTGCCAAAAACGTCAAAAGGGAGACCAAGGTCCTCCTATAACGCTCTTTTATTTCTTCACGTCACCGTTGTCGGTATTTCACGTAAAGGAGATTGCTCAGCTTCCATACATGTTTGGCCTAAAAACCAATAACCATGAAAAATTGTTTCCTAGATTCGAAATTATATATAAATTACCGTAGAAACGAATATTATCGACGGCCACTCCTGAGAACTTCTATAAACCATATACACTGAATGATTTTGAGGTTATGTTTGCAAATAGGCACATAGGTATTAGAATAATAAAAACCAAATAACTTATATAGGAAAATAGGGCAATCAATCCAAGTACCGAAATTATGTATTAGATTCAGGTATATAGAGCATGTAAAATAACAGATAATTGCCTGTTTTTAAAATTAATGCACAATAGTAAGTTTTAAAATCATGATTATGCCATTGCGACTTTCAGAAGCAATCTTGTTTCATTTGACAAGTGTCTAACACTAATTACACTAACAAAATGCATGTCAAGGAACTGGTACCTGCTTACCTATGTTATGAGAAACATGGAACTGTTATCATAATTTTATAAAAACCAATAGGATATTTTCTTAGAAATAATTAGGTTTATAATGAAAGATTTTTTCTGCTAAAGAAACTAACAAATTAGTAAGTTTCCCCCAACTTGACTTATTTATAACTAAACCACAAATACTTAAAAATATCTTAGTCAGTTCTTGGTTTGCTGATTCTCAAACTGCCTAGCTTAACTAATGCATGCTTTAAGCGTCGCTTGCTGTTATATCTCAATTATCTCTAGTCTTATTACTTTCCTGTATTTTTCACTTGGCACTGCTTGTATGGTTTCAGCGACGAGCTTTGTATTGTTAGTCATATGCGAAAACGTGTTAATGGTGTCTAGATTTACATTTAGTTATAATTACTGTTAAAAAAACACTACGTTTTCCGAATAAAATAAAATAAAATAAAAATAAATAATGGTAAAAGGTAATTCTAATGTAATAATATATTGCGTAGGTTCATGATAGTTCGATCAATGTGTGAAATATGTATATTCCTGACATAGCTTAAATATTCTGATAAGGTAAATTAATGAAATAAAACAACTTAAGTACTTTTATGTTGCGTTTAATATTACATATCATCTACATTTTGAATTAAAATATCATCGAAATATTTTATCAATCTTTACAAAATAGATTTGTTTTGATGTTATATAAACAACCTCGATCAGTCTTTGTGAATGTTACTACACCCATAGCCAATAAAAATGATTCGTATGTTTTCCAAACCGGTAAAAATAGAAGTCCTTTTTTAAAATTAATATATTATTTAAAGGTGGCCGTTAAAATCTAATGACTGTAAAATAAAGTATAAATTACGCCAAGAATTACTGTATATGTCAATATTTTATTTGCATTTAGGCCAATTTGACCAATCTCCTTTTTGAAGTTATACTTCTGCTCCATAAGATGATCGCGTTGTCAAAAACAATGTTGGCACGCTCGTCGCCTCTGATCACTGTTTTCATATTTATAATATTTATCCACATGTTTCTAGTTTCTATATAGACACAACGTGTTTTAGTTACTTACAAGTGCTAATTACATATGGACTAATAACTTAAATTCAGTAGTGATTTTAATTGAATATTTTGAATATTTATTTAATTTTTCAAATTAAAACTGAACTTAATTGACTGTGTTAACTATCCTTTTCCAGTCCTTTTATTATTTTATTGTAATTATTAATTATTTGCATGCAATTAAAAAATATTTTTAATGATGCTAAAGAAGTATAACTTCTCACGCGGGTACATAAGTTACACGCATCCATTTTTTTTTTAATCTAATTGTGACAAATTAAGCTGTAGAAAACAAAACCATAGAATTGAAACGGATGGCCGGAATCCACGTTTTACGCCACCTAATGTGTTCTCAAAATATGACACGCTCGGTTTTTATACAAGTTGAAACACAGGCGTCATCTACTAGGTGAACAACGCACGAGTCAAAACCGCGGCGGATGGCGGTCGCGCGGTTGTTTATTTGTATAGGCACATAGGTACGAAAACTTATTCACATCCGTTTAACCGCGCGGGTGAGCCATACAAATAACATCCGCGCAGCCGCCATCCACCGCGGTTCGCTGCTCGTGCGGTGTGGCACTTAGCACCACATACCTAAATTTAAGTAGAACGAACGTGCTTCAACTTGTATGAAACGGAGCGTTCTTCACCTGAGACTAAGGCCGGTGTGTGTAGGCAGTGTGTGTGTGACGACAGAGGGCGAAACCGGCGACACGGACTCGTCGGGCTCTGGCTCGGGCTCCAGCTCGGCGCCGCGCTCGCCGCCGCCGCACGCGCACGTCGGCAGGGCACACATCGCGCTACCCTCCGCGCTCAGGTAATGGGTTTACTTGGACCTCAACAGACTTTTTCTAGGGATGAAGAATTTAAAAACTACAAACAAAGTATTTTTGAAGTTATACTTCTTTAGGCGCGTTATGAAAAAATGATGAGAGTGAAATTTTAAGATGCGCGCGCATCACTGTAACACAAAATTTTAACAGCATGAAGTTGGTCGCTTTGTGTTTACCGCACATTAAGAAAATCTACCAACAAAATAGAAATAGAATCTCTATTTAGTGGGTGCTAACGACTGCATTGTGAAGGCCTATCAAAAGTATTTATTAATCTGGAACAACGGAACCAAAGCGCGATTCAGGAGACTACAGCGCCATCTCTTGACCATTGGTGTAGTAGAACCAAAAACCACATCTTTATTTTTTGTAATAAAGTAACAGTTATAGGTATTCATATTTATAATATTTATCCACATGTTTCTAGTTTGTATATTCGGAATACGTGTTTGAGTTTCATACAAGTTCAAATCACATATTTTCTAATAAATTATATTCAGTAGCGATTTTAATTGAAAATTTTGATTATTTATTTGCATGCAATTAAAAACTAATTTTAAACGATGCCAAAGAAGGATAACTTCTCACGCGCCTACATAAGTACACGCACCCATTTTTTAATATTAAGAAAGATGATGTGTGGATGTGTTTATTTTTTGCAAAGTTATCAGAAAATATTAATTTTATCAATGTTTCATTAACAAGCTATTTTGTGTGGTAAATTTATTTTTCGTTATAAAAAAAAGATGCGTATCTCACAAACCATTCTTACCTTGCCAGTCTGTAGTCACCCCTGAGTAGCTCTCGCAATCTCGCTCACCGCAAGAACACTAGGATTCCAGAATTTGTGATACTTAACTACAGTTTTATCTAATGTGAAGGATAATTTAAACCTTTATTATATTTTGCTCATGTGTAGGGATCGTCTCACATTCGACTACCACCTGGTGGTGAAGCGCGGGCGTTTATCCCGGCTGCCGGCGACGCCGTGCGCCGCGGAGATCCTCGAGTCGTTCGTAAAGTGGTTTGCGCGCGCCGGCGCCTGGCATCCGGCCCGCGCGAGACACGACCCGCCACAGCGGCCGGACTTGCTGGACGTGTCTTGCAGGTACCAACGCACGTTATCTACCTGCTGGCGGTGAAGCGCGGCCGTTTATCCCGGCTGCCGGCGACGCCGTGCGCCGCGGAGATCCTTCAGTAGTTCGTCAAGAGGTTTTGACCCGCCGCAGCGGCTGGACTTGCTGGACGTGCCCTGCAAATTCCGACCCACGTTCCGACATCTAAGGCGGTGAAGCGCAGGCAGGATTGGGTCCCACAATTTGTAAATCATATCAAAATATAGGTTTAGTTACGAATGCATTTATGGCTTTAGCGCCCCCTTGCAGCTCGTGCAGCCGGCCTTCGTAGCCTGCCACCCAAGGCAGCAACATCAACAGAGCGTACTTTTAATATCATTATTCTGTGTATCTTCGTGTCTTACCTAAAATACGGAATTAGAAACTGTTTAAATTGGAGTCGAAAATAAACTTTAAAAGTAGAACACCTGACTTGCTCAACGTCTGCTGCAGTTTTTGCACGGTTCAAAATGTGCGGCATTTTATACATGGAACTGAACATTCCATGCAGTACGGTAGATAATTTTATATAATCTCATAGTAACGCAACTTACATATCCTCCCAAAAAAAAAATAGATTATGGCATATGTATTTTTCTATTATTGATATAATTATTTCCTATGTGTAGGTTGAACCTAGTCCGTGAGGTTGCCGACGGGCTGCGCGTTTACTTCGACTTCGTGCTACGTGGTCATTTACTGTACAAACAAGAACTAGCGCAGTATCACGACATCTGCGGCCAGTTCTTAAGAGAGTAGGTATTCATTAATGATTACTTCTACAGGTCGCGTCACGTAAAAAGAACGCTGGCGGTTAGGCTGCGCAGTAGGCGATTATTTAGGGCGGGTGGCTCACGCGCTGCATGCTTACCGGAGCGCTATTGGTTCGTCAGTCGTCCCTTGGTTTCCGCGCTGTGTCCACGTTTCGTTTGCTCTCAAAATACCATCGCGCACAAAAGTTTTAAATTCGAAATGGTTTTACATAGAAAAGTAAGAAAAAGTATTTATGACGTTTATTGTTTTATTAAAAGAGAGGCCGATAAGAAAAATAATGCAGTTGTTAATATAAAACAATGTATGAAACGGACCGCAGAGGCAACAAAATGTTCAGAGCCTATGTGAGACTAATTGTAAAAGGTTCGAATGATTCCTAATTTCTTACTGTCTTCCGAACTCCCGGCGAAAACAAATGAATTAAACAAAAACCAATTACAGACATTGACAGTTTTCACCAAGGTGTTATAAAAAGGACCATGCACAATTTCCACGTGACTGAAAAAGAATTGCCTACTATAGGCAAGTTACTAAAGAAATTACCTTCTTATCTGGTTTTCATCTCACCCAGGACGACCTAATGGACGGATTTTCAACATTACTTTATTTTTTACAAACTTTTATTAATAAATAATAAACATTCTTCACTGAATTGAACATGTTTTAATTCTATTTGATAATATTGTAATACTATTTGCCATGTACCTTGGAATAATCAATATACGAAGCTGCGAGCGCAAACCTAATTAATAATTATTTCAAACAAAAAACCTTTAAAGTACTTTCGTCTGAGGGTGTACCCACGCGCAAACACACTCCCTCAACTTTCTACCAGCGTTCTTTTTACATGACGCGACCTGTACTTCGTATAGTGTACAGGCAGTCCACGTACTTAGGGCATGTTAGGTTCTCGAAGTACGCGACGTAAAACGAAACGACGTAAGTCGAGACATCTCCACGGACGCCAGCCCCACGGATATTGACCTCGCGACAAGTAAATTCTCCTATGCCGGAAATCGAAACAATTGACGTGTGCTTGAGGAATAGTGTCAAAACATTGTTTGCGTAACTTGAGACGTCGTAAATCGAAACGACGTAAGTCGAGTACGGCTTGTACTGTATAATCAATAGCAATAATGTTTTTTTTATTTATTTAAATCGGCAATAACACTTTTTATTAGTATATATCACAACTCAACGCCGCATTATTACCGAAATTTGAAGTATCTACTACGACGACGGTCTACTCTTCCATCACCTCAATTTTTAAGTTAGGTACAAACAATCCAACTTTAAATTGAAAAGTAGTGCGGACAATTATATATAAAAAATATTTTTAACAATCTAATCTATAGAACAACGAATTAGATATGATATGGAATACGAAAAACACTGAAAAGTTCACACGCAAAGTGCGATCAAGTGGTCGGGGCAAAAAAATTGCGAACACCACGCCGATCATGAGATCGGTTAAGATTTCCGTTTAACATTATCTTATCCAATGAATGGAAAGTCAAATTCATTTGCAGATAAATGCGTGTGCGTGTCGCGTTAGCTGTATGAGTCTGGTCTAGTCTAAAACCATGTTTTAACTGCCTTTGTTAGAGAGTAATGCTTCCATATAATTTCTAATTCGTTGTTAGTACTACTATATAATGAATTTTTGTCACGGCAGTCAGGAAGTGGAGACAGGAGCGGAAATGGAAGAGGGGACGGCTTCTCAAGAGGAGGCTTTAGAGGATGACCTAAAGAGTCCCAAGATACCTGAATACGCGCATCTGCCGCCTGATCCCTGTGACATTGGAGACCGAGATGAAACAGGGAAGACTTGTAAGTACTGAATAAAACCCGTAAAAACTAGTTTTATTTAATGAGTGATGTGCGTGAAAACCAAAGAAACAAATATTGTAAGTACTGTAGTGCCACTGTCACTAAACTTACAAACTTTTTTGCTCCTTAAAAAGATACATAATTTCGTTGCGCAGCGTAGCATAGTAGAGTGTGATTCACCACACAAAAAACACAGACCCCGTCAAATTAGCATTTACCTTATCAAAATTATTGATAAATTATTTGGCGGACCTATTTTTAAAATAAGCCATATTGTATAAAACTAATAATTGAACTTTTCTATTTATTTGTTTTGATTGTATATTTTACCGGTTATTGGTTTTGAAAGAGCCGATTTTTAATACAACAGGTATTTGATTAGCTGGATCGGAATAGAATGGAATGGTGTCACTTCTGATATGATTCTCTAAATAAATGATACGTTACTCCGACGACGCATTCCTGCAAAGGATGCGAAACGTCAATAAATAAATAAAAACAAGGCATCTAACCCGTTGAAACTCGTTTTATTTAATGAGTGATGTGCGTGAAAACCTAAGAAACAAAGATTCTCTCAACTTAAAACTAAATTTAACATCAGTCTCTCCTTTTCATTCTATATAGAGAATGACAAGGATAAACTGTTGTCAAGTTTAAGTTTAGAGAAACCTGCCAGAATCGACACCATTGTAACATTATTTTGTCTGTCTACCAAGATATGTTAATTCTAAATATAAATACTATTTAATCCTTTAGCACCTCTGACAAATAACGAAGAGGAACCACCGAAAGCGGACACAGAGAAGGCAAAGGGCGACTCGTGTGAGGAATCGAACTCTACTGCTTGCAACCAATCAAAGCCGCGAGAAAGGGCGGCGGCTCGACCCACACTCGCTAGAAGGTACCGCGAAAACACCTCGCTGAAGAGCCCTTTTACAAAATTGCGCCGCTGCCGCCGTACTGATCGGCGCGTAGGTAGAATTGCACTAGTATATATTGCATTTTACGGGTGATGTTTCGAGTCTTATAAAATAATTATTAACGAACTTATTATAAAAATATATACATATTTCAGTAGTTCAATGATGGTAGATTAGATAATGAAAGTTTTTGATAGTAATTCTATTTAATTCAATATCAAAATACGAGGTAAACCTGCATTATTTTTTGGGAAACTCACGGAGGTAAGATGTTTTTTTATGATAATTAATTAGATGGGAAATCAAAATTCTAATACATTATGTTACAACAAAAACATATTTCTGATGTTCCCCCCCCCCCCCCCCTCGTGACGCGCCGTAACGATATCCTGCCCTCCCCACCATCAACGTTACGTAACATCGGTGACCATTTTTTTTCCAAATGTCACATCTATGTTGCGAAAACTACCGGAAATTCGCTTAATTACCTTTTTTATTGGTTTAAATTGTATTTTTGGTAGTAATTAATAATTAAAACAATCGATTTCTAATTCGCAATACAGATTTTAATACCCTAGTTTTTTTTTATTTAGATAAAAAACAATGTTAATTAACGCGTTGATCGAACCCCCTCCCGTCCTTGTAACGCATCGTAACTATTCGTAACATTTTACAAGATCCTCCCCCCCCCCCCAATTTCGTTAGGTACGTAATACTTGAACGCCTTGAAGACCTTTTTCATTTCTATCGCTGATTCCTTGTCTAATGCACGATTTGCTGAAGGAAATGAAACACCCACGAGTATTGAAAAAAAAATATTTAAGCATTTTCCGGCTAGATGTTTAAATCTAAATTAAAATTTTCTAAGCTAAGCGAAGCGAGGGCGGGCCCAGTGGCTTCGGTATAGAGCTGTAGTGTAGGTAGACTATAGTTTTTGTTCTGAGGCTTGTATTATAGACAATGAATTTCTTTCTATAATTATTTTTCTCACCTTTGAAACCTTCCCTAGACCTCCACGAACATTTCAAGACCAAGATAAGATAAATCCGATCAGCCGTTCTCGAGTTTTAGCGAGACTAACGAACAGCAATTGATTTTTATATATAACTAGCTGACCCAGCGAACTTCGTACCGCCCTAAAAAAATAGGGGTTATCCAGAGGACAAAATTGTGAATCTAAACCATTCTCAGATCCCCTTGAACACACACAAAAAATTTCATCAAAATCGGTCCAGTCGTTTAAGAGAAGTTCAGTGACATACACACTCACAGAAGAATTATATATATAAAGATATAGATAAAATCCACGTAGACCAGGCAGCTGACGGGACTCGAACCCGCACCCTCCGCATTCCAGGCGGATGAACTGACCATTATGCTACCGGGGCCCTAATTTTCCGTGTCTTATTTGTGAATATGGTGGGTTGCCTACAATGCGAAGAGAAGAGATAACGCTGCCGAGTCCCGTCTGCTGCCTGGACCGCGTAGATTTTTTTCTATTTAAATGCTGATGAGTTTCTTGCGCCCATTCTTCCCATCAGCTAAAACATGTCCCTGAATGAATGGTAGGAAAAAATATTGGACAATTCAATCTAATATATAAAATTCTCGTGTCGCGGTGTTTGTGGTTAAACTCCTCCGAAACGGCTTTCCCGATTCTCACGAAATTTTGTGTGCATATTGGGTAGGTCTGAGAATCGGACAACATCTATTTTTCATCCCCCTAAATGTTACGGGTAATCCACACCTAATTTTTTTTTTGCAATTTTATCTATTTTTTTTTTTTTTATGATACATCATACAAAAATACATACAACCCTAAATTTTCACTCTTCTACCACCAACCCCTATTTTTTATGGCGGTAGGAAGTTCGCTGGGTCAGCTAGTAATCTATATAATAATAAATAATAACAATAATCCAATAAGTAATTTGAATAAAGTATAATTTAATTTTCGCGTGTTGTTTTTTGTTTATTGTGCGTAAATACTTGTAATTTTACTCCGGCAGGCTTCGCTCTCACAAATCGGTGGTGTCACAGTCCGAGAACGAGGAACCAGCGCCGTCAACGTCCGGCGAGCAAAGAGCATTTGAAACCCTATCTTCAAGGTCAGTATCATCATCAGCTTATTAATGTCCACACTGCTGGGGCACAGGTCTTCCCTATAGAAGGAATGGGGAGATTGTGCCGTGACCCACCACGCGGGCCCAGTGCGGATTGGTGGATGCTAACGACTGCCGATGTAGCCGGGATCAAAGGCTTAATGTGTCTTCCCAAACACGGAGGAACTCGAACAAAAAAAGTTTTGCTCGCCCATCCGATGACCGAACACTGCGAAAGTTGCTTAACTTCAACGATCGCATTTGAATGAGCTCCTCGAAGGTGAGTATATCAAATTACCTATTTTTAGGGTTCCGTACCCAGATTTTTTGTATGCTCTTTGCCTCAGCCGACTGTTCTGCTATCTGTCAGTCACTCACACATAGGCAACATCTCTTGAGCGATATTAAAAGACGTCAGAAAAATTACAGAATACGGTGATGAGATACTTATCACTAGAGATCGGATAATCGGATGCATATTTACCTATAAAGCGTTGTTGTGTGTAGATAGGTAGGTAATTCGCTTGTACTTATCTGCGGTGCAGTCGGGAGGCGGTGTAAACAATAAGTCCAGCACTCAACAGTAAACAGTTTATTTGCACAAGCACAGAATAGAAGGAGTACAGAGCACAGTCAGTGATAAACAAGCACAGAGGAAGAAAGGAAAAGCACAGTGAAAGCAAACGTAAACAATAACAATAATACGGTTATGAGTTAGCAAGCGCGGAGCGATTGATCGTGCGTACGGTACAGAGTATAGGTTCCGACTGTCGTGCAACGTGACCTCTGCGCGTGAGCCGGCCGGTTTGCCGAACAATAGGCGGTGGAGCGAGTGCGCGTGTCCATTCGCCATATGACTTCCGTAGATCAACTGATGCACGGCACGATAGTGATATTGTTTGTGAATAAATGTATGTGCTTGTGATGAATGTATATGAATATAAATTATAAATGTTATTTTATATAAATGTAAATATATTTATTTAGAGTAATAAAATGTAAATACATATTATATAATATTTGATATATTTCTAAATACTTATATAATGTGTATAAGTAAGATTGTGGGAGAACCCCACACCTAAAGTTATTTTTTGGTAAACAAATTATGGAAGAGGCTTTTAGGATATTTTTTATTAAAAATAAAATCCCAAGATTCCGGGATTAACTAATCGGATGTATATTAACTTAAAGTTTAATGTAAATTTCCCATTTGAGTATGTTAGGTGTGTGGTGGTTAATAAGAAAACAAAAATGAATGTAAAGTTATTTATTCAATATGGACAACTTTCATTTGTGTGAATCTGAAATTATTAGATCTCACGGAGTATGTACTTCAATTTGAGTTTGCCGGAATCGCGGGGGTTTTTCCGATAAAAAAGTGCTTTCCATATTAGTTAACTTCAACTTTCGGTTAATATGCAACCGAATGTCCGATCTATAGTTATCACAACCAATAATAAAAATATACTTAGAATGTTGACCCTACTAGAAACTTTTTTTTTCTATAACCTACGCTCTGTTTAGTATAAAATACTGTGCTTTTTGTAATGCCGGCACTTCACTTGGCTATTTGTAAACATGACATCAGTCTGTCCTTTTCCTTATAGAACATCTTAAGGAAAGACTATTGTCAAGTTTACAAACAGCAAATACGAATAGCCAAGTGAAATTTGATACTATGCAATAAAACATTGTTATTACTTGATGTCTGATATAGAAAACAAAATACAGTAGAACGCCAATAATCAGAGCGCCGATTAACCGAATCGCCAATTATCCAAATCGGTCGTAAGCGTAATATAAAAAATTAAAACCAAGTTATTTTTGTTTTGTTTTGTTGTAACAAGTTGGAATTCGCTGGAGTACAGATATGTTTCACCTGTTATGGTTGAAGGCTACATACATTATTTTGCTACTAAGTATCTCTATTATTGTATCTAGTATTGTAGAACTGTGTTTGTTAAACTTAACTATGTGTGACAGTTCGTATTTCATTATTACCAGTCCATGTCCGATCATCCCAATCGATCCCGGTCCCAATTAATTCCAAAAATCGTTATGTTTGTAGCGTGGGCAGCAGCGGATCATCATTAAGCGAAGTGTGGGCGCGTCCCACCCGCGCGCCCGCGCCTGCGCCCGCCACCCACACGCCCGCGCGGACGCCGCTCTCCCTGCTGCTGGACAAGGTCAGGATACGCACACGATGAGTAGCGTGTGGGCAGCCCACACAGGCCACCCACACGCCCGCGCGGACGCCGCTCTCCCTGCTGCTGGACAAGGTCAGGATACGCACACGATGAGTAGCGTGTGGGCAGCCCACACAGGCCACCCACACGCCCGCGCGGACGCCGCTCTCCCTGCTGCTGGACAAGGTCAGGATACGCACACGATGAGTAGCGTGTGGGCAGCCCACACAGGCCACCCACACGCCCGCGCGGACGCCGCTCTCCCTGCTGCTGGACAAGGTCAGGATACGCACACGATGAGTAGCGTGTGGGCAGCCCACACAGGCCACCCACACGCCCGCGCGGACGCCGCTCTCCCTGCTGCTGGACAAGGTCAGGATACGCACACGATGAGTAGCGTGTGGGCAGCCCACACAGGCCACCCACACGCCCGCGCGGACGCCGCTCTCCCTGCTGCTGGACAAGGTCAGGATACGCACACGATGAGTAGCGTGTGGGCAGCCCATACAGGCCACCCACACGCCCGCGCGGACGCCGCTCTCCCTGCTGCAGGACAAGGTCAGGATACGCACACGATGAGTAGCGTGGGGGCAGCCCACACAGGCCGCCCACACGCCCGCGCGGACGCCGCTCTCCCTGCTGCTGGACAAGGTCAGGATACGCACACGATGAGTAGCGTGGGGGCAGCCCACACAGGCCACCCACACGCCCGCGAGGACGCCGCTCTCCCTGCTGCTGGAAAAGGTCAGCATACGCACACGATGAGTAGCGTGTGGGCAGCCCACACAGGCCGCCCACACGCCCGCGCGGACGCCGCTCTCCCTGCTGCTGGACAAGGTCAGGATACGCACACGATGAGTAGCGTGGGGGCAGCCCACACAGGCCACCCACACGCCCGCGAGGACGCCGCTCTCCCTGCTGCTGGACAAGGTCAGGATACGCACACGATGAGTAGCGTGGGGGCAGCCCACACAGGCCGCCCACACGCCCGCGCGGACGCCGCTCTCCCTGTTGCTGGACAAGGTCAGGATACGCACACGATGAGTAGCGTGGGGGCGGCCCACACAGGCCACCCACACGCCCGCGCGAACGCCGCTCTCCCTGCTGCTGGACAAGGTCAGGATACGCACACGATGAGTAGCGTGGGGGCAACCCACACAGGCCGCCCACTGCCCCAGGCACCTTTGACCCTTGTTTTGTTTGATATAAGATTCATATTGAAGCCCTTAAGAATAAACATCTATTTTCAATCCACTAATTTCGTAGCCAAGTCATTATATGTAAGAGCTGTTAAGTTGTGGGACGCTTTGCCTTTGGATATGAAACGTGCACAGACGAGGGACTCCATTACTATTAAAATTAAGGAATATTTCCTCAAGCTGAACTCTGCCTGATCTTTTTATCTGTACATTACTATTTATTGTATTTTATAGCTTCCTTATATACTTACTATATTATATATTCTTATATTTACGTTTATTTATTTATTTTTACAATGCACTAGCCCGCTGTTTCTACTATTCTTATGGTATGGTTTCATTTAGCCAAAGGTTGCCTGGTAGAGATTGCTACCTTAGCAATAAGGCCGCCTTTTGTGTTTTTGTTCCTGTGTTTTATGTTCTCTGTATTGTGTGTAATAGTACAATAAAGAATGTATTCATTCATTCTATTTTCGTCCATTTTTTGAGTGTTCAATTTGTATGGTAACAGGTAGCGAAATGGCAGATTATACCGCGAGAGGGCACAGAGCATTTGCCATGTCGCGTGTATGGTGCAATTCATCTGGCGCGATTATTCGGTAAGCTTTGAAACGAATTATACTTACTCTAAATAAAGTATCTATTCTACGCTACAGTAGGTCGTTTTTTTCATAATGATCGAAATAAGAATTCCCGTGACAGGTTTACATCTTACATCAGTACCCTTACGAATCAATATTTAAACAAAGCCACAAAGGATATAACAAGATTTAAAAATCTTCCATACAAAACTTCTTTTCATTTGACGCGTATCGTAATCGTATTCAACTATTCGAATTCGGTATTGGCTTGTGCTGAGGGTACCGGCGTAGGTATAGGTATTATAAATGCGAGTGTGTCTGTCTGTCTGTTACTTCTTCACGCATAAACCACTAAACTGAATTAGATGATTTGTTATATAGATATAGTTTAATTCCCGGGAAAGGACATAAAATAGTTTTTATCTCACACATCATAATATCACCAAGTAGGTTTAATAATAAGATTTTATGTTTTCTCTTCCAGTGAAATTACCAGATTTTTTAAATGCGACGCAGATGCCAGACTTCAAACTGAAACTCATCTTGAAACACATTGATATGTTTGTTCAGTAAGTATACAAATACCATATTTTATGTTGCATAATGTTCTTTATCGACATCCATACTATAATTAATGCCGCAATTAAAGATTCTGAAACAGTTTGTTGCTAAACTAAAAAATAATTTCTTTTTTATAGCAATTCGTTGTTCTATTTTCAGATACTTAGATGAACACAATGAATGGTTCGGAGAGATGTACTATGTTGCAGACAATATGTCTCGATCGCATTAATTTTTAAGTTAATAATTTTTAATCCCTATATTGTAATCTCACACTCGATCAGGGCCGCATCTAGGGGAGGCATTATGGCACATTGCTCTGCTCCAATAAATAGCATCAATACCATAAATACAACCCTGGCTACGGCTCTGAACTCATTTTATAACATATTTTGTATACCTAACTATAGTGTAGTGTATTAGACAAGACAGTGTTTCAAAAATTACACGTCGGTTTAAAATGCATGCTTTCCTAAATTATAGCATGACCACCTCAACATATTATATGCAGTAATATGCAACATATTTTATATATATATGCATAGATGTATCTGCGAAAATTTACTGTCATTGTATTTTCCCTATTATCGTGTTGGTCATGCTACGTATAAGAGAGATTAGATATCAATGAATGAATGCATTAGATATAACAAACAAAGTCCTTTAGTTTTCTTTTCGTAGTGGTGCTTTCTTTGGGCATCGCAATTTTTTCCCGCGATAACAATAGTGAAATTTAAGGAAAAAATGCATTTGTATGTACCGTCCGTAAGTGATCCCCAATATTGCTTTTTTAATCGCATTTCATAAAATATGTAATGTTAATTTAGGAATAAGATATGAAACGAGTGACTTGCTATAAGCCTTTGCCTACAAAAAATTAAACAGATTATAGTGTTAAAGATTCAAGGTCATGAAAATAAAATATCTTAATTTATAAAATACATATTTTACCAATATTCTAAATCATGTTAAAAATTTGCATTATTTACATAACACAACGTTTTTACAAATTGGAAGGAATTACTATATACTATGTTGTTTGTTATATAAATTAGATTAAATAAAAACTTAATGTTTAATTACTACTCAGCGAAAGTATTTTGCTAAAGGAATTGTTTCTTTTTAAGTGTCGCAAAACGTTTAGTCCAGGCAACGAAAAGGTATAGAGGGAAATGCTTAGAACACAATTTTTGACTTCGTAACTTTGTTAGGACTAGTTAGGAGGTAAACATATCAAAAGTCCCCGCCCGTAGCCCTTAAGCCGGGGGGAAGGGGGGGATTAAAGGTCCCATTTTTAGGTTTTTCGCATATATTTCGGAAACTATGCATCCTAGCGACATGAGACTTTAACAAAAGTGAAAGCTGATTAAAATTGCTACAAGTCTTATTATGTCAAGATTTTTGATATCCTGTATAGTTTTCAATATATCCGCTCTTGAAAGTCTGTATTATGGAAAAAAAATTGCTTCACATTTTTGCTCTATTTGACCGGATAACTCTTCAACAATGCCGGCCGTAGGGTTGTTGGTTCCACCAGTGAGCAGCATGCAGATTTCGGACCAGCCCGCCAAAACAAGGATGGAGCTGACATTGCCAAGCTCACCGATTGGTTTGAGAAATTTCCTCCCTTGCCAGAGACCAGAGACATTATCAAGTCACCAGAAATCCAGAAACCAGCAGCGGTCTTTTCACACCCTTTCTCCACCACCACTCAAGTACAAAAGGCAGGTGAAATCTGCATCTTAAGGTGGTATGGAGCTCCAGCGAAAGAGATTTCCCTCAATGCCTACAGGTACAACTGGTACAAGTCATTCTTGAAATCAGTGGCCACCATCAAGCCTGATATCTCTTGTCTTCCTCCCACCGAGGTAGCAGTAAAACAGCATTCCCAGGAAGTGGTGGCAATTTTTTTTTCCATAATTACAGACTTTCTAAAGCGGATATCTCGAAAACTATACAAGATATCAAAAAACTTGACTGAATAAGACTTATTTGACTTTAATCAGCTTTCACTTTTGTCTCATGTCGCTAGGATGAATAGTTTCCGAGATATACGCGAAAAACCTAAAAAAGGGACCTTCAATCCCCCCCTTCCCCCCGGCTTAAGGGCTACGGGCGGGGACTTTTGATATGTTTACCTCCTAACTAGCCCTAACAAAGTTACGAAGTCAAAAATTGTGTTCCAAGCATTTCCCTCTATACCTGTTTTTGAGCATTCGTTGCCTGGACTAGTTTCCAAACAATATTAATAAAGAATGATCTCACTAGCTTAGATTGTTTAGAATATAAAATAGAACTGACTACGCGCTAGGAATCCACGGTTTAATTTATAAGTATGTAGTTAGTCGTAATGTTTTACTTGATAAAGTTATGAGCAAACTTTCCATGTTTCTTATTTAATTTGAACCCCGGTATTATTTTGGACTAAATGAAAAACTATTTTTTTATAAAACTATTCTTTATTATCAAGATTCATCTTCATTGTGGCAGCCATAACAAGAACAATTCACAAAAAAAAATATATGCTGAAACAGTTTTAAAAAACAAAGTTTAAGACCTGCTATTAACGATATTAAATACCATAGAGACACCACATGCTCTCCTAATGTGTCCCTATCAAGAAGTGCTTCAACACGACTCGAGCACTTCTTGGTGTGAACCAAGTCACACGCGGACCGTTGAAAAATCAACATGCCGCTGAGCTCCGTGAAAAAATGCGAAATAAATACTTACAAGTAGTATGTAAAATGACGTTTTTTCGACAGGTATCTAATCAATGTTTGTTATTTAAGCATTTGAAGCTAATTTTGTTTTAATGCTTACTATAAAATGATTTAATAGAAAATATTTGTGATATTCAAATGGATGGTCGGTAATAAAGCAGTCGCTTTACCTCGCGATCCGTACCTGCTATATAACGAATTGCGCGTAGAATCAAGGAAACGAGGTCTATATTCTTCCGCATACAGCAATAAGTCATTGAAATTTTACGAGCTTACTCTCGGACATGCGTTTTAATTAAGACCTTATACAGGGTGCTTTAAAGGCGATTATCAATATTTAAATAATGCCTTATATTGTTTAGACAATGCGATCATCTTACGGGGCTCCGTGGATCGTCCAATGTACTTTCTGGACAGGTTTCGGGCATGATTTTGTTCGTGTTGGTGTATCTAGGGTATTTAATATCGTTGCCTGCGATTTATCAACCAACATACATAATATTTGAAAGGCACTAAGATGCACGAATTTACATTCAACAATACACAAAGGAATACAATTACCAAATCATCAATTAATCATTTTCATAAGTTCCAAATTAATATTCTATAAAATATTGATTTTGGTTATAAGGAAAAAGATATATAAGAATAATATTATAAATATTAAGTACTAAGATTGTTTTAACATGTCGAGTAACAATATCGAGTCCGATACAGGTTGTTTGATGATGATGAGATGAGGTTCTTCTTGGGAAGAAACCCATATTTAGTAAATATAAAACAATTATATTCTGCCCAAATCATAAATCTAAAAAACCTAGAACAAAGTTTAAAATGGAAGTTTACTTAATATAACGAAATTGGCAAAACAGATGAATACTTACACAAAAATATAAGACATTATTATTCATAAATTGAATTGAACATTATCATATACCTAATTACATAACAATTTTACTACTACGGTTTAAAATGCCAAAGTTAAATTTTAATGTAGATATCTGATAAAATCAGTTTTCTGTGCGTTTCTTACGCTCCCATCGAGTAAGGAAAATTAATTGACTAGTAATTTTGGTTCACTTGAAGAACATTTCTACAAGATTTATTAACAAATGACTAATACAATGTTTGATAACATCAAGATTGCCGTGATATAGCAAATATAGCCGAACTATGAACTTTCATTAATTTGCTGCGGCATTTTACAAACTTATTCACATTTGTAATACCCAATGAAACGAACAATGTTGGATAAGTTCCCGAGGTCATACCAAGCAAATTATTGCGAAGGAACCTGGATGATCAGTGTGTTAGGATACTATACATTAAATGACATTAATTCTTATAAAGAGATCTGCCTTAACCCTACGTGACTCGTGAGAAGGCTTTACTGGTTAGGTACTTCATAATTTGTGTGAAAGTAGTTTATCTATGACGTAAACTTTATTTGTAATTTTATTTCGACACATTCGTCTGCGCAGAATTTCTAAGTGTAGTACTTCCTTCTTTAAAAGAAAATATATTACTGCTCAAAAAATTACTATTAAAGGCAAATTTCTGAAAAAGGAAAATATCTATATTATTAAGAGCGACCATCCAAGGACTGCTCGAGCAGATTGCCAGTGATTAACATACATGGACTGCTCGAGTATTTAGTCACATTGAAGCTGCTATTTCACCGCGCTGGCAACCGCCCAAAGCAGTCGCAACTGCTCGAGTGGTTCCGTGTATGTGTATACATAGAAGACTATAGTACACTATGCAGTCGCAGCTTGAAGCAGTCGATACTGACTGCTTCATGCATATTATAGATAGGTACTTATGGCGCGACGTGCCAAATAAAAAAAATGTTTTAATTGTAAGTAAACATCGAAAAAGTTTCGTAATTTCGCATACATAATTTCGTGTTGTAGGCGATGTATGGCGGGGCGATAGTCCAGCTCAAGTGCGGCGTACGCAACGAGGCTCGCAAAATACGAAAACAATATTCAGCGAAAAATCAAGTTTAAATCAACAAACACAATGTTAGCGAAAATTTTAATTAATTTGAAGTGTATTCTCTACTAAAATCTGAAAAACAATACAATCTCTGGTAACTTCACATTCTTCACAAGCAAGCACATATTATTTAGTAGCGCACACAATTCACTAGTATTGTAGGTGGTGTTGTATGACACGGAGGTAGTTGAGCTCGAGTGCGGAGTGCGGCGTACTGCGCAGCAAGGGGCGCCAAAATATGTTAAATACGAAAACACAGTTATCGAAAAATAATATTTATTTGAAATGAAATCATCGACAAACAAACAATTTATTTAGCTATTTTAGCAGCTGACTTCACAACTGGCATAAATATAGTATCGCACAGTTGACTCATGTTGTAGACGGTGTATAACGCGGCGGTAGTCATGTTCCAACGCGACGTACTGCGCGGCGACTCGCGCCGACTGTTGCATACGAAAACAATTATTTTGAGGGATAAACAAACTTTATTTGTAGTGAAATCGTCTAAATTCAGTAACAATTGCTCTGCTAACTTCACATTCTTCACAACCGGCACATATTTAGTATCGCACACAGTTCATTCGTGTTGTAGACGGTGTATAACGCGGCGATAATCTAGTTCCAACGCGGCGTACTGAGCGGCGAGCCGGCCCTGCGTTTCGTGCGCGCCACTAGCACTAGCGGTCGCGGCGAATTCCTCAGGCTTCAAAACTTTTTGCAGCTTCTTCATTTCCAATTTCTTCTTCTGTTATTAAAACAAAAACATTACTTCAAAAATTAAAAATAAACAAAGATTAAAAATAAACTAGCTGACCCAGCAAACTTCGTACCACCATAAAAAAATTGGTGTTGGTGGTAGAAGGGTGAAAATTTAGGGTTGTATGTATTTCAACTACTGACATTGCTGTTTGCGTTGCTATAAAATACTTTCCAAAATACTACTGCAGAAACGTCAATAGCAATGTATGTTTAAGTTATTGCATTTAAGTGGAATGGAATCACAAGGTAGATCAGAGTGCGGTGGTAGGAGTGATCAGGACAGCAATAGTAGCGACTGCCCTGCACTCTTGACACAATAAAAACCAAACACCGTCTAGCTAGAGAAACCAGCGATGGCAGACGTACCGATTTTGGCGGGACGTCCCGATTTTAAATCAAAATTTAATGTCCCGCGCGGGACAGGCTTAATCCCGTTTTTCGGGGAAACTCGACCGTACTGGGAAAACGAGGGCGGGTGGCACAGACAAGTGTGGACTGGCCGCCTGCCCGACGCGTAATGAAGATAAATATTCAATAACTTTTGATTATATACGTTTTTTTAATATGTCCCGCTTTCAATGAAAGAATCCCGCTTTTTCACACAAAGAGTTCTTAAATCCCGACTTGGCAAAAAAAAAACTGGCAACGCTAAGAGAAACCTACTGACACGTGATTTCTTCAAGATTACAACTTCATATTATTTCTACATATAAATTGTACTATCCTAAAACAGAACTGACCTGGAAAGGTGCATTGAGGCGATTCTTAACGTCAAGTCGATAATTGAGATAGGCAGTCTTATCAGATGTGTTTGTATTTTTTAATCTTAAAATTTCGTATACTCTCCGTGCTTGCTTCTTGTTGATCTTGAATTTGGCACACGCTTGATTTGCCATTTCCGAGGAAAAACTGTACAAAGAAATTTCGGTATTACTGAAAGTTACTCCTGTAAGACACAAACAGCATAATAAAAAAATTGCTATCTTATTGTAATGTTACCCTTGAATGAGTTTTGCAGGTTCAAAAGCAGGTAATGATTCACAATTCTTGGCGTCCACATAATCTCTTATCCTTTGAAAGTCTTGTGATGGGTCTTCAACAGTTATATCCACCACATCAGGTAATATCGTGAAGTATGAATATATGGCCTGTTGAAATTAATACGCTGATATAAATTATGACTAATTAATACACAAATAGATTAACAACAAGTGAATGGAACTCCTTTGTGTTGGTATTTTTTTTTTATAAAATTTTATGCAGACATTGGTGTCAATTCTGACATGATTCTCTAAACCTAAACTTAAATTTGACACCAGTGTATCCTTGTCATTCTCTATACAGAATGAAAAGGAGAGACTGATGTTAAATTTAGTTTTAAGTTTAGAGAATCACGCCGATTGGTGTCCATTCAGGCATGTTTCTTTTAACCTAAAACTAATTTTGACAACAGTGTATCCTTGTCATTCTCTGTACAGAATGAAAAGGAGAGGCTGATGTTAAATTTAGTTTTAAGTTTAGAAAATCATGCCAGAATCAACACCACTTTCAATGAGGCTTTTCGTTTTATTTATAGAAGACCTTATGACTATACCCCATCTGATGTTAAGTGTGTGTATGCAGCGCAGAACAATTTATATTATATTTCATTTATTCTAAGAATACGCCCAGTGGCCTCAAATATGTCCTTTGTAACCCAGTAGATACACAAAACTAATCATGCGAGTGCAAGTCGGGACTTACGTACGTTTTTCGTACTTGCACTTGGCTATTCATATCGACGCGGGTACGCGTAGTAGCGGTACCCGGTCTTATGATAGAGTATTAGTTAGTGGAGGATCTCGATGGCGCAAGTGGTTAGCGCGTTCAACTGCGCTCGTTGAAGTTAAGCTACTTTTGCAGTGGTCGATTATTAGATGGGTGACCAAAAATGTACTATCTCGAGCTCCTCCATGTTTCGGAAGGCACGTTAAGACGTTGGTACCAGCTGCAACCGCTCCAATCCGCACAGGGCCCGCATGGTAGGTCATGGCCCAATCTCCCATCAATAGGGAAGGCTTGTGTCGCAGCAGTGAGAACCTGAAAAGGCTGATGATGATGCTGATAATTCGTTAGTGAATACCTTAGTAATTACCTTAGACAGTGTTAGTTATTAAAGAGCCTAGAAGCTACAATATCGCCGCACAAAACGGCAGTAGGTACGCGCGTAGTTGCGGTACCCGGTCGTATGTTAATTAAAGAGTATTGATTAGTGAAGACCTGAAAAGCTACGATATGGCGGCACAAACCTGCAGTAGGTTTACGCAGCCCCAGTTTCCTTAAGGAAGATAACATGAGGACCTGCGAGATACTCGGGCGCGAGTGATGGGGGTACGCGAAGTAGCGCTTCACGGTCGAATGTTAGAGAGTATTGGTTAGTGACGACCTTAGAAACTATGATATCGCGGCACTTACCTGCAGTAGGTTCGCGCAGAGCCCCAGTTTCCGGAAGGGCGGTAACGTGAGCACCTGTGAGATGCGCGGGCGCGAGTGACGCGGGTACGCGTAGTAGCGGTACACGGTCGCGTACGCGGCCGTCGCGTAACAGGTGTTGCCTTCGCTCGACTGGTACTTCTCGAAACTGTTACCGATAGCGTATCATACAATCAATATATTATAGATATCTATCCTACTAATATTATAAATGTGAAAGTTTGTATGTTACTATGTTTGTTGCTCAATAGTCAAATTTAACGCGGACGAAGTCGCGGGCCGCCAGTTGTACTCTAATAAAACATTGGACGGAAATCATTTTTCTTAATGTTTCGGACCCTTTAAGGACTCAGTCACAAGATAAATTGTAAAGGTTCCAAAACTTTAAGAAAAATTAAAGAAAATATAAAAAAATACCACATTCCACTGCTAAAAAAGTATTTGATTAAATGCAAGAAAATTAGCAGTAAATATGTATGTGTATATGTACGTGTGTATAATCACCAGACCACTTTTGTAATTTTGAAATTCCATGGTTAGTTACTCTGTCAAATAATATTTTTAGAAAAAAAAACAAGCCCTATATACCTCCCTTTGATAATACATCAAAACAAGAGTAGAGAACTAGTTTCCTTTTTCAATAAATTTATCTGAGCTAGATATAGCATACAAGCAGCCACCAGCAACTTTGTTTGAGTTAGCTTTAGTTTTTAAAGAATCCCACAGGAATCTAACATTATTGTGAGATAAAAAGTACGCTATGTCTTAATTCAGGTCAACTATATGCATACCAAATTTCATCCAAATCCATTCAGTAGTTGCATAATTGAGTAACAAACATACAAACTTTCTCATTTATAGATTTCTCTACTGGTCCTTTATTTATTTATTTTAAGTGATTTTGTGATTAGAAAAGTTCTATACTATATGGGGATTGACAAAATCCAAAGGAGTTTTTGATAGCCGTAAACTCAGCTCTTAATAGGCAGAAAGTAGCTATCATGGGTAGAAATAATTATTAAATCACAATTCTTGGACTTACACTGTGAAAAAGGTCCACTGATCATCATCTACATCAATGAAAGAGGCAGCATCCACATACCAAAGAAGGAATGTTTGCAGACGTTCATGAAACGCCAAGAATCCAGGAGTAGATGTTTCACAGAAATACACTTCAAATGTTCTCTTATCACCACCTTCCTCTATCAAAAGTACAAATAATTAGTGATACTTTTACACATCTAAATAATTAAACCAAACTGCTTTCTTTTTGTCAAAATAACAAACTTAATGGGGTGAATTATTTAATGCAGATGAATTTAGGCACTTGCTAGTTGACATAATATATACCCTGTCATACACCTTAAATGTTCTACTTATAATTTTGGTATTTAAAACTTTATAAAGTAGGTGTTAAATCAATTCTTAATATATTTCCTCTACAAACTTATCTATATATTAGATGTGTAAATTAAAAACCATTACTAAATATGATAAAATGAAGAAAATGAAAATAATTTGCTCTACTCATGGTAGAAATCATCCACTTACACACATGAGGTGATAATATTTAATCATTATATTCTTATAGACATGTCAACATAACTTAAAAAAAGGATGCATATCATAAAAACAAAAATCTTTTACATATTTTTTTAATAAGTATGATTTTTACTTAGAACAGGAAAAGTAATAAGAGTAACTGATGTTTTTAATTGTATTACAAAATGGAAATGACTTGTTCATATGATAAAAGACGGGAAAAATAAAATAGAGTCCAATAAGAAAAGAAGAGATTGGAATGGTCATAGATTGGAAGATGACCTCAAGAAATTAGTATAAATGAGAGCAACTTCAGATAAGATTACATAGGGGCATTACTCTAGGCGAAGTATTTGCTGAAAAGCAAGATGGTCAGTGATCTAAGTAGTGATTAATTTTTAAATGTTATGTATTAGAATTAAAAAGTGAATTATTAACAATAAAGGCCATAACAAAAATAAGTAAGTAGGTGTAACTTCACCCTCATAATTTTATTATTTTTAAGTTTGATAACAATATGTTTCACATAACTTACTTGGAGTGACTGTAAAGGCATGTAGGAGGCGGCCATGTGGAGTGAATGATTTGTCCTTTTCTAGCATGGAGACAAAGTGATCCAAATTGGTCACATAGCCAGGTGCCAAAACTTTTGTTAATGCACCCTCAACATCATCTGCCTTCATTCCTTCAGACTTACTAGGTTCAATCTGTAAAAGTCAGCGTTGGACACTATATACTCTAACCTATTATACATAACATCTTCATTTATAATATAACCTATTGTAATTTCATCAAATAATTACTGTCCACAATAATTATACAGTAAAAACCATATCTATAGGTGATTAATGGTTAAATTGGATTCTAATAATGTTATTTCTTCATATTTAATAATATACACTATAGTATCTTGACAGGCAAGGGGTTAATAAAACTGTACTGCATTAGTCAAAACTCCTTACATAAGTACCTATAGTAAAAAAAAAATACATGTATTTACAATAAAATTTATTTACCTTGTCCATGTATTCAATTCCTAAATAGGTTTGTAAACTCCCTGCACTATAATAAAGGTGTATCCGTAAGTCTGTATAGCCAAATATATTTTCATTTTCCCCAAATACTTGATGACACATCTCGGGACCAAAACTGCTTTCGTCATTTTCCAAATCTGCAATTCCCCTTACTGAAATGGAAAATAATACTGTTAGAGTGGTAAATTTGATCAAATGATATTTTAATATGTGGGTAGTAGAAATGTTAGTTCAAAACATTTTCCAATAATTTTTGAATTGTTAACTGCTACAGAATTGTGATTTCAATTTGAAAAAAGACCTAGTCAACATTGATTAAATACCTAACCATCTATCCTTACTTTGAATCAAGATTATTTCTATTCTATACCAAATGCTAAAGTAATAATATATTTGAATCTATTGAAATACAGACCCAATTTAAAATCCAGTACATCGTTTCCGTCCACAACTAAGTGACAAAGTGTATCAGTCATTTTTATTTAATTGAAAATCGCAGTGTTCACTTTCATTACAATTTCTATCTTCTTCCCGCGCAAAAATGTCAGTTGGCTGTAAAGCAACAAAAGCATTTTTCAACGATTGTTTTAATCAAACCTAAGATCATTTATACTTTCTCCTTAGAAAATCTTTATTTCTATAAACTCCTTCAATTATAACTATTAAATGTTCATAATATACGTACAATTACCGAGCAAAACTGATAAAAACCAATTTTTTTTGTATCAAGTTCTAACCAAATGAAGATGTTTGACAGTTGGATTGGACTCACCATTGACACTGACAGTTGACATATTTATTCTAGGCTACGTACCATAGATGTCTATGACTGACTCAATTTCTAGCGGCTTTAGAGCTCGAAGGGTCCAGCACCTTTGGTGCTATCTATTGACTTAATGACAGATACTATTACATCAATTGGTAAATATATATGTGATATCGTATCACCGCTATCTATTTGATCAAAAGACATTTTATCATCGGCATCACAGCGATCAGATGATTCGTAAACGGAACTAAAAAATCGTGAAAATAACTCACATGCGCCGTTTGGGTTATTTGTTCTAGAATTCAATTCAGATATGTTATTTCTTGAGGTATGCCATTCCTTGACTTACGGTTATTTACATAAGACCAAAATTTTCGAATATCATCACGCATTCCCACCTCTACAGAATTAATATATATGTGTCTAGGTACTTTCGACATCATAAATCTTTGACGATACAAGGAAAATGTTTCATAGTCAGAAATATTCTGGTATTTTTTCCACCTTATCCACGCCTTGCTTTTATTTTTAAAAACATGTAATAATGGCTTTGTGAACCAAATAGGAAAGTCATTACTTTTATTGGGACGTACGGGTACACGTTCTTTTATAGATAGATTCATAAAAAATATTAACAGCATCCTCGATGGGCAAACTCCGTAATATATTGTGCCAGTCAATACTAGCAATATCTTTGTTTATTAAGCTATAATTAGCTTCGTTATAACGATAACGAGGTGCAGAATTCAGTAACATTGCACTAAATTTCACGTAAGTTGAAATATTAATTAAAAAGGCGGGATATGACGGGTCGGGAAGGACCAAAGAATGGAGCGGTGGTTCGCACATGCATTTAAAAAGTAGATAAAGTCTTTGATAAAAAGATCTAGGGTAAAATTTTTGTTATTCATTAGAGAATTAAATTGTTGCCTGTTTAAATAATTTAAAAAGTTGATTATGTATCTATCAATAGGTCTCTGTCTCTGTTCTACCACTGTCTCTGTTCAACGCAGTCGTCAAATTTAATTTTAGGTTTAGAGAATCTACTGTAGTCTGTACTGTAAAATACAAAATAGGTACCACGGACGTGTAAATACATTTTTTTTTTATTATAGCAACACAAAGAACATTTATGTGACGTCATGATGGCCTGGTTGGGTTAGGTTTGCTTGGAAATTTTTGTAAAAAGTCTTGTATTTTAGTGTATTATATGTTGTGCTACTTAATTTAGAATAGTCATATAAATACCTCATAGAGTAGCATTAATAGTGGTGCCAAGGATTGTTTGTTTCGGTTACAATTTCTGGCGAAAATGAATCGCCATGAAGGTGGGTAATGATAATCAAAATTTGTTCAATGCTATTGTCATCGTAATTTTCTTTGAGAAAACATTAGAGACCTGAGTGACATAAGTTTACTATGATATTTAACAGATTTCAATGCACATTTTTCTTACTCAAAATTGCAATTTGTGTATGTGAAACCTATTGACATCTTTTCAGGAGTCAGCTGTGATTCTTGTTTGAAAAATAACTTTAGGGGACGACGATACAAATGTTTGATATGCATCGATTATGACCTATGCGCAGCCTGTTATGAATCCGGCGCTACCACAAATCAACACACAACCCAGCACCCCATGCAATGCATTCTTTCCAGAAGTGACTTTGGTAAGATTAACTAAAAAACTAATGACCTGGTTAACTTTCAACTCTCCAGTTTTCAATTATTTTCAAGAGTACTTACGTTTGTATGTTCATATTCCAATATTAAAATATCAAATTGCTCTTTCTGATGTAGGACATGGCCTTTATGTATAAATAAACAATTTTATAATAATAAATAATTACATTTCAAACTTTCACTATCTTTCGTTTACTATTTCCAAATGATTAATCCTTTATATTTTGATGAAACCTTAAAGTAACAAAAAATATCTAGTTGGAAAACTATTAATATCAATGAGTGAATATTTGCTATTAATATTTCTGTAGACTAATCTTATATTCCCTATACTGCTACACAACAAAGAAGCACATATGGAGCTCTGAATATTATGCTCTTATGACTTTTAAAAGCAAATAAGCCTCATTCATTACCAGTTCATGATATTATTGTTTCAAAACATTGTGTATTTTTGCAGATTTATACTATGGGGGAGAAGCATTGGCTCTTGAACAACCTCAGGCATACACATGTCCATATTGCAACCGTATGGGGTTCACAGACACAGCTCTCATGGAACATGTCACAGCTGAACATGCTGATACCACATTGGCTGTGAGTTTACTAACTAGATATAATTCTTATTAGAATCTCTTTTATCATAACAAACAAAACAAAATTGCTTGATGCTTTTATTTTATATTACTTTTTGCAGTAACTATTGAGAACACCTGTTATATAGCTAGGAATTGACTAGTTAAAATTTTATGTAAAAAAAACACAAAGATGTACAACATTTATTAGTAAAATATATCTTCTATTCTGGAAAATATTTCTAATACATATTTAACCTGTGTTTTGCACTTTCAAAATTGATTGTTAATGTTACAGGTGGTTTGTCCTGTTTGTGCATCAATGCCTGGTGGTGAACCAAACTTTGTTACTGATGACTTTGCTGGCCATCTCACACTCGAACACAGGACTGGACCTAGAGATCTCATCTCATTTTTGATATCCTTTTCAATTGGCATTGTAGACAAATACTTAATGATTGTAACTGAATGCTTAAATAGAACTGCAATTAAGCTGGCATGATTCTCTAAACAAAACTAAATTAGAAATCAGTCACTCCTTTTCATTCTGTGTAGAGAATGTCTAGAATACACTGTTGTCAAATTTCAGTTAAGCTATAGAGAATCATGCCAGAATCTACATCAATATGGTTTATTTCCTGTCACAGGTATAGGGTGGCAGAGTATTGCATGTGCAACAGTTAAAATTTTATTTGATAGAAATGTCCCACAATAACAAACAATTGTTGGAATACTACTTATATTCCCCCATAAAAAGCTATTATGAAGTTAGTACAATGCAACTAGAAATGCGACTTCATTTTCTGAATTAAATAATCTTTGAGAAGTATTGTCACCAAACACAAGATAACAACTGAACCTGGTGATAAACCTGAATTCTTTTGTTCACAAAATAAATTGAGAACCACCACCAATCTCCTACAAAAATTTTGAAAAAATTATTTATGCATGTAATTTAGTAGCTACTGTATACCTTGTTTTATTAGTATTCACTTTTGATCTTAAAATTTGCATCATTTTAATGGGTGTTTACAACCATGGCTGACAAAAGTGCAACAAATACATATATTTTTTAAATGCAGAAAATACTGGATACCCATTTGTAATATAAAGTTCAATGATAACAATTGAAATTAGCTGCTGTTGTGTAATCTAATGTTTATTATCTTGCTGCATAGAGCACCCCTACTAAGAACCTAAATTGCAAAAATTGGTGGTGTTCAGGAGGCTAAGCTGCATTAAGATTGGACACGTCAGTGTGTCGTTACAGTCCCATTACAAAATAGGTGCAAAATTATATTGCGACTTTTGGGGTTGATTATGCAGTATTCTTATAGCTTGTCGCTAGCGGGTGACCTTGTTAGCAGTCTGGTAGAGTTGCTCTGTGTCTTGCTATCAAGTAATATGATTATTTAGTTGTGATATTTGTAAAGTCTCAATATTGTAATAAGATTCGTTAACTGCTATGCACGACGAGCCCAGTGGCATCAGACATGGCGGAGTCCGCCGCATGCCGCAGTCAGGACGCGGCGTGAGTCGTCCGAGACGCACCAATATGCAGTTCAGGTATTTACTTCTGCATATTAACACTAATGTCTAGTGAGAGAATGACAAAAGAGATCTACAATGCGATAGTGAATAGCTGATGGAGGCCAAGACTCGCCGTTCACGATCAAATTGATCACATTTTGAATGTAGGTGACGTCAGAAGTCTCAAAAATCGGCGGTCGTGTATGAAGACTAATGATTGTGGATGAAGCGAAACATGTGTATACGGATCGTGTCTTATAGCGCGCTCTAGTTCAGCGCGTGAAGATAGATAGATATTATTAACACATAAAGAGAAAAAAATATTAGATTATATTTCTTATGTGATGGATGGCATAACGTAGAATACATGAAAATTCTTTCTATACTATAAGGTATGCCCTTTTATACCACATTTAGCATCAGCTGGTTCGGAGTTGCTCAAGAACTATAGTGTAGGTTAGTAGTCAGCACGTCCTCGACAATTTGCACACATTAATTTCTCTTGTTATAGTTTTTAATTATATCACAGCATTAAAAATAGCAGGTGATGCATTCTATGGTCTTCTTTCTCTTCCAATCCAGCATGTGGGTTTAACTCAGGGTTTAACACCTACACTAAAAGACATTGTCAAGTCTAATGGCCTGCGCAGTTGAGGAACAATTGTCCGCAAACTTTTTTGGCACACGACGGGTTAAAAGTCCCCCGAATAATCGAGGACATCGATACTACCGACAGTACGGACTGGACAAAAGTACTCCCTGAAAAAAATAGTATTCATGTGACTAGGCGCAGCAGCGCAAACAGCGAGCTTCAGTCCGCGTTGCGCTCTCGATCCGATTTAATGGGATGGACCCAGTATTCTCTTTTAAAATATCTTTCTTGTTTCTTAAACTTCATGTTAATATTACAACACAACGTAATCCGAGAATGTTTACTTCGGAGGACAAATATCCCTTGCCCAGGCTATAATGCTTTTCAAATTGAAGTGTTATTTTGTCTATTGCTACCAAAAAAGGAAAGCAGCAACTATAATTAAACTTGCCATTTTATTTCGTTATGAAAATATTTTCCGTACAGTTTTGCTCTTGTCCAAACCATGGGTCCAAACAATGTTCAAACAATCATTTTTTATAAATGTCATTTCAACAAATAAATAAATGAGTTTCAATATCAGAAAGTAATATATATATATATATATATATATATATATTTGTTATTCTCGATGCATCATTTTGCATAATAACTTTTGAAAGGTAATAAGTTACTTGATATGACATTTAAACTTTAGTGAACAAAGTATGATATAGAATCTAATTTAAAAACTGGTAAACATTTTCAGACTGCGACCGTATATTTATTGTGTATTTGACTATATTTATCTCTCTGTTGAAGCACACGCAGTGGACAGCATATCAGGTTATACAAATAGCATACAGAGATATTTTTTATAAGTTCATTGTATAGCTTGACATGTCTCTCTAATAAGCATGAAACATTTAAATGATCCCGTTATTATTATAAGCAATAATGTTATAACAAAATATTTTTACATGGTTCCTTTTGCTAACATCTTGGTCAGCTTTTGTGTGACATATCTGCAATATGTTTGAAATTTTTGCTCCTTTAAGCTTTTCAAAGATAATGCACTCTTATGTTGCCTTTCCCCGGTACTCAATATAGCGGACAGCCACAGAGCACCCTCTCTAGAGACCGCATACCAAAAGCACGCATACTTGTGCCAAGCTATGTACTAACACTTGACTAACACCATAAGCGGTGACACTCCCCAAACGTCGCCATACAATTTTGTACCTAATTTGCAATCCGACTGCACTGACGTGGCCAATCAAAACGCGACTTAACCTGGCATTTCGATTTCCAACAGAAATTAAGTAACGCGATTTCTAGCAGGGATGCCTTGTGCGCCCAAGCTATTAGAGCTATTATAACAAGACGCAACCCACTGAACAAATTTCCAACGCCTCGGTTCCCGCGGTGCGTGGTTGCTATTCCGTCTGAGTTAGAGAAGAGAACATTTTATAATTATTGTTAATCCTAGAGAGTCTTTAAACTCACCCCAGCGGGACTTGATGTAGAATTATCACCGTACCATCACTCGTGACGTATTGGAGTAAGTAAATACGGACACGGGTGTCCTCAACGATTGCTTGACTGTGACTAAATTTAAAATCGCGGACGCTCATCCGTAGCTGGACCGTAGCTAAAATTCCCAACTATTATATGTATGCTATTAATGTTTTCTTTAGATAGAGTTATAGAATTAAGATTTTGCCTTTGACAGTAAAAATTGAAAAATAATAGTTTATTTTTTTATAACTTATTGATATTAAGACCTACATTCACGTACAACGTTGCAACATTTAAAATAAAAATCGTCATTTGTTCATAAACTCGATTAAAAGAGTCATACCCATGTCACCAACCAACCTTCTCATTTTATTACTGTACCTTTCCAACTTCACATGTGCTAAAATCAGAACCGCAACTAAATTTGGTCATAAACTTGATTTAAGGTGAACAACGCAAAAGCCGCAAACCGCGGCGGATGGCGGATGTGCGGATGTTAAATTTTATGGCTCACCCGCGCGGTTACGTAGATGCCCGAGCGTTGTCGTACTTATATGCCTATATAAATTAACATCCGCGCGACCGCCATCCAGCGCGGCTAACGTTTAGTGCGTTATGCTACTAAGTATGGAGAAATAGGGGTTAATTGTAGTTGTTTTGTCGTTCAGCACGGGCGGCGGCATATCGTCTCTGTCGCCGTCGTCGCGCGACGCAGTGGTGGACCCCATAGCCGAGCTGTTGTCGCAGCTGTCGGGCGTGCGGCGCGGCGCCGGCCAGCCGGGCACGCCCAGCCAGCTGCAGCAACTGCAGATGCAGCTGCAGCTCGAGCGGCAGCAGGCCACGGTACGTCACACTCGCACTACGTATACATTTGCCAGGGTAATAATGGTTTTTATCTTCATTAATAATTACCTAAATGCTGAGATTTGCCAGCACGTATTTTTTCTTTTTTCACATAATATAAACATTGCAGAGATATATTGAATTGAAAAGTCGCATGACGTCACGTTTGAGTACACTTATAAGTGAAAATTCGCTCAAAAGTGACGTCACGAGCCCCTACTCCCAAACTTTGACGCGCTGTAACTTTATCATTTTTGGTTGATTGCCCAAAGAAAAAATACGTGTCCATTATTTTTTGATCATCTTACTGACGGACTAAATAGAATTACGTTTACTGGAGCCCGTCATCATCCCTATTAAACCAAGCATACAAGTTGCAGGCATCAACTAGTATATTACAAATGCATTGATTATTATGATAAATTAATTAGTGGTCGTCTACTTAGCAAAATACGTCTCTTTTAGTTATTTTGTCATATTGTATATTTTAATTGTAGGTTTTGCATATCCTTAGTATTGGGTAAATAAGTTATAAGAAGATATAATTGTAACGTGTGCAGGCGGCCCGACAACAGATAGAGAGGTTGCCGCGGCGCGCGGCGGCGTCGTCGAGCGGCGCGGCGGGAACGGGCGCCGGCGCCGCGCCGCAGCCGCAGCCGCAGCCCGCCGCGCAACCGCAGCCCGCCAGCGACGCCAACGACTCGCAGTTCCTACTCTCCGGGTTCCTGGGTGAGTGGCTAGTGATAAATCCTCGTAGCTGCAGTTCAAAGTGACGCTGGCGACTAATTGAACGGTCTTATAATCCGCTCAAACCCAACAGAAGTACTGGTATGACGTACCTAAAAATTGCTAAAATAAACTGTATCACAAAATTTTCCTTCTCTGCCTGTTTAGTTGTTTGAAATCGAAATCACCAAAATTGGTGTCGTGCGTCGAGAGTAAGCTGTATTTTATTGGATACATCAGTATGACGTAATGGCTGCATGACAAATTAGGTGCAAACTTTTATCGCGACGTTTGGCGGCGTATCACAAGCTTCTGCCATATCATTGCATAAGCTTAGCAATAGTAGACATGGCTCATTCTTCCTATTGTATCCAAAGGGATCCTCTGAAGACCTGCAGTACGGACAATAATAAATCGATGATGATGATGATCTTAACGTGTCTGTTTGTGTTTTTGTTCAGGTGTGACGAACAGTCGCGCGGGCGCGGAAGCTGAGTGCCGCGCGGCGCTGCTGCGCGGGCTGATGCTGGCGTCGCTGGGGCGGCCGCCGCCCGTCGCCCGCGCGCCCCCGCCCGCGCCCCGCGCTCCCCCAGCGCCTCGCGCCGCGCCCGCTCCCGCACCCGCACCGACACCGCCGCCGCCCGCGCCCGCGCCGCCGGCCATGCTGCGCGTCAAGCCGCAGCCGCGCACCAAGGTAACCGTAGCGTGATGATGACGACTCTGGTCCAGCTGCCCGCGCCCCGCGCCGCGCCCGCACCCGCACCATTACCGCCGCCGCCCGCCATGCTGCGCGTCAAACCGCAGCCGTGCACCAAGGTAACCGTAGCGTGATGATGACGACGCTGGTCCAGCTACCCGCGCCCCGCGCCGCGCCCGCACCCGCACCATTACCGCCGCCGCCCGCCATGCTGCGCGTCAAGCCGCAGCCGTGCACCAAGGTAACCGTAGCGTGATGATGACGTCGCTGAATCCAGCTGCCCGCGCCCCGCGCCACACCTGCCGCATCCGCCGGCGCCCTGCCCGCCATCCTGCTCGTCAAGCCGCAGCCCCGCATAGAGTCTCTCACAGATAGAGACGGTCAATTGCATTGGCTTACAATGTAAGCGAGTGTTCAAACAACCAACCAATAAGGGCAAGCCGTGGCCACAGGCCGCCTCTATGCTATGCTGCGCGTTATGGCTTAGCCGCGCACCAAGATAATTATATCATATGTCCATACATATGTTCGTTATCATATGTTCGCGCGTCGATGCGTGACCATCTGAACTTAGGGCATTATTGATGCTGGCGTCACTGAGGTGGCCAACCGCTCCCCGCGCCCGCGCCTACACTCGCAGCGACACCGCCGGCGCCCGTTTATAGGTCAGACGAATGGCACGTGATCTATATAGTACGACAAAGATTTTTATGGATGTGACGAAATTTTGAACTAACACCGCCGTTATCGTAAACATCATATTTTGTATGTCATTTACGGTAATATACGTAGACAGTGGCGCCCTCCCGAAACAGTCACTCACATTCATGAAGACCCTTGGGGCACTGTGACGTGAGTTTTCCGTTTTCTCCCCCCCTTCCTAAACTTGTTCTTGTATTTCAACGATATTAAATACCCTACAAGAACACGAACAAAATCGTGGCCGAAACCTGTCCAAAAAGGAGCTCCGTAAGATGATCATGTTGTCAAAAACAATATAAACCATTATTTAAACAAATTAAAGTCACCTTTAATGCATACTGTGTAAGGTCTTAATTGAAACGCATGCGTCACAGACTTATGGCAGTTCTAAATGCAAGCTCGTAAAATTTTACGACTATATGCGGAAAAATTTTGACCTTAATTCTTTGACTCTACGCACAATTCTGTATGCGCTGTTAGCAATATAACAGGCACGGTCCGCGAGGAAAAGAGACGGCAGTATAACCGATCGTGCATTTGAATATTACAAATAATTTCTATTAAATCTGTTTTAGTAAGTATTAGAATAAAATTTGCTTCAAATGCGTTAAATGAACAAACATTGATTAGATACCTGTCGAAAAAACGACACACGTACTATAAGTATTTTTTTCGCATTTTTTCAAGGCGCTCTGCGGCATCTTTACTTTTCAATGGTCCGCGCGTGACTGTGAACCAAGAAGTGATTGAATGGAGTTCATGCACTTCTTGATTGGGACACATTTTGAGCGCACGTGGCGTATCTAGCGTATTTCGTCTATACCACGGCGAGTGTTCTGAGGAGTTATTCTCTTATCCCACCTTCCCCTTACTTCAGAGGACCACGCGCGCTGGCCTACGTTCTCACCGTCTAACAGTGGCCACAATTGCATTTCTTTGTCGCACTATCCGTAAATGGAATGCTCTGCCCGCTCCACGTGAGCGGTCCTCCCTCTTACAACCTGGGATCCTTTAAAAGAGAAGCAATATGCAGGCCGGCAGGGTGAGGATGGCTGATGTGGCAGGTAGAGCTGCTGTATCAGCTATCTTCGCGTCTGGACTCCACCTTCACTTAACATCAGGTGGGGTGTAGTCATTTGTCGGACCTATCTATAAAAAAAAATATATCGTTGTTGTGATTGTCACAGGAAGCGGCGGCGCGTGCGCACGCGGGCGCGCGCCAGCTGCCCGAGGGCAGGTAGTCGCGGGCGGAGCCGCGGCCCGCGCTAGAGGTATAAACAAAATCTTCTTAACAACCACTACACAGCATCTAGACGCCTTATAATAGACAAATAATCTGACTAATAAATCAGATAAATAATCCCGCTGGGAAATATTCAATCAGTGTCAACCACTTTCGTGACCTGTTGACAAGCGTTCGGAATGCAAAAAAAGTCCAAATGGTTCGGTCTACCATCATCACATCATTTTTTAGCATTATGACTTGTATAGGCAATCAAGGCGCAGTCGCTCTGCTTCGTCTTGCCTCCGGCAGTTGTCAGAATGCATTTAGTACGGAAAATATAACGTTAGGCGTCTAGGGGCTGTGTAGTCGGTGCTTTTAAACAACCAATCTTAAACCATTGTATACTTGAATAAGGTGATTAGTCTGCCTTCTTTTTATTACTATTACTAGTTTACGTTACTTTCAATAACAAAGGAGAATGCCCATTTTGTATGAACAAGTTTTGATCTTATTATTTTTGTGTCGCGGTATAAATACCTATACTTGATTATGCTATCATAAGAATGACACGTACCAAATTTAGTTAAGTTTACTTTTGGGTGTCAAGAGATATTCATCAAAATAAGTTTGTTTTTTGGTTAAAGTAGATTCATAGTAATATGAACTGTTAAGCAGTCGTATTTATGATTTGCATATTTTTTTGATGTAATTGACGAATTTCAGTTCTACTTATATTTATTTTTTGATACCTACTAAGTTAAATAAAAACAAAGAAATTACAGTACTAAAAACAAGGCTGTATCGACATAGTTTCTCTTGTATTCCTAATTCTCATTGATAACCAAAACAAACGAATAACGTTTGGATTCATTTGGGTTACGGTCGTCGGTTTCGCCTTTCCACTGTCGATATAGTCGAATGTTGTACATGCCTGCAGCAATTCACATGATTGAGTACTACATGAATCTATTGAAATTTGTGAAATTGTCGATGGTATGTCAAATAAATAAAATTTAACGTACTACCTTCAAAATGATCCTCGGTTAAATCTACAATTGCGTAATCAATCTTCAATTAATAAAGGTACTAGTATGCATATTTTAAACATGCTGAATAGAATATTTAATATGTCGGTCGAAGAATCAATAAGACATACGCAGAGTGACTGTAAAATAATGGCGTTATAATATTTGAGCTGCTTAACAGAAGTAAAGTTACTAATAACTCAAAGAAAATCAACCCTAAAAGGAATAATGCTGACAATCATTGCATCACCATTTTTATTGTAAATGGTACCGGCCATCCTTTAAGTATAAAAGTTTCTTAAATCCACTCGAAAATTATATCTGCAGCAGATGTAGTTAGCACATTCGGTCTGCCGTCGTTAAAGTTAAACTAATTATAATACAAATTAAACACAATGACCGGTCATATCAGGTTACCAAACCAAAAAAAAACAGATATTACTTGTGAATGAAAGATCTTGTAGATTCATAATTTTAAAATTATTTAAGTCGGGGTCTAATACATAATATCAGGGAAAACCACCCAATCATTGGCAATTTTGAATTAAGTTAAAAAAGTTAAGGAAACAATAGATTATCGAAATAGTGCTGCCAATTTTAAACCATAATTACTATGTTTTCTTTTTAATATGTTGAGTTTGAATAATCTATTGTTTCCTTGTTTTTTTTCGAACTTAACTCAAAAGTGTCAATAATAGGGATCAAGACTAATTTTTTTTTCTTCGTCTATCAGGTAGATTATCAAAAAGTATTTACACTTACTTTTTTTCACATATTCAAAACTTTACACAGATTTGGTACAATTCTTACTTTAAAGTTACGTCACGAGCCCCCGACTCCCAAACTATGACGCGCTTTACGTTTGTAATTTTTAGGTTGATTGACCAAAGAATCTAACTGGCGAACTAAATAGAATTTCGTTTACTTTATCCCGTCGTCACCTCTATTGGAAGAGTGCCAATGATTGGGTGGTTTCCGCTATGTCAGATTTGAATACATAATGTTTATGTTTTTATTTTTAAGAATTTAACTGCTAGATGTTTAAATCTAAAGAAAAGTTTACTAGAAAAAAATCGACGCGGACGAGGCAGCAGACGGGACTCGAACCCGCACCCTTCGCTATCCGGGCGAATGCACTGACTATTATGCTACCGCGGCCCTGACGGCCGTGTCGAATTTTCTTTAACCTTAGGCTGCAAAGCAGCGCCATCTTTTCGCATTGTAGGTAACGCACAATGTCAAATGAATACCTTTACAGGTATTAAACATTTTAAAGAAGAAATAGCAATCATAGTGATGTTTTTTTTTTAAGCATTTAACTGCTAGATGTTTAAATCTAAAGAAAAGTTTACTAAAAAAACTAGGTAGCAGAATGGTCAGTGCATTCGCCCGGATTACGAGGGTGCGGGTTCGAGTCCCGTCTGCTGCCTGATCCGCGTAGATTTTTTTCTAGTAAACTTTTCTTTACATAATGTTTGTTTATATTTGTTTGATTGTTGATTAGGTGATTTGAATGGCATTATGTTTCCGTGCAGCCCGCGCCCCCGCCCCCGCCCGCCGGCCCCCGCCGTCAGCGCCCCGCCACCGCGACGCCTCCCTAGCGGACGCTTACCTTTGTTTTGTTGCCTTTCGAAATATCAGTGTGATTTTCTTTACTGTAGAAAATATATAGGAATGTTTTAATCGATTTTAACCACGAGTTTAGAATTTAATGATATTCATCGAAATGTCACGAGAGCGTCGTCGCCGTCCGTCGCGTCGGTCGCGGGCCGCCCGGCTCACGTCGCACCCCGGTGAACGTTAGACGACTGTGAAACGAGGCGTAGTTTGTATTTTTTTTCTTTTTTTTCGTTGTATTCTGCATAGATTGAAAGTTAATTATTATTATTGTAAAGTTACCTTTAAAAAATATATATTAACGAAATATGGAGAATCCCAGTCACGAAAATTTTCGATGCAGATAAACCCACGAATTCACTGGCTACTCTCAAAGTGCTTATTAGTTTGATTATTATACTTCAACATTACAAAATGTTTGTATGTACCCTAATTAAATTCTATAATATTAATATATGCATTTCATTCTTTCATTTCACGTAAGTGTATGTATTAGATTTTTTTCTGGAAGAATGTCACCAACTTTGTTTCATTTTTATATAGAGAATAACAGGTTTTGTTTAAGTACTAAAATATCTGCAATCTGAAATGTAAAGCACTCTAATCATATTGTAATAAATAATGTATAAAACAAATATGAAGTTTGGATGGAAAGAAAACAAATACAGGTTTTTATCATCTGTAATTAACAACCCTATTCCCAAAATGTATATTTTTAATCCTACGAAACTGCCTTTTCCATTCAAGATCATTTTCCAGGGAAGGAACATCTGGCAAGTAAAAAAAAAGAAGGCTAATAGGTTGTTCTATTCTATCCTCTTCGGCCGAAAACCCATGCTGGTGAAGAAGTAAGAATCTTAAGTAATTAACTCTGACCAGGTATCAATGAGCAAGCAGCCACGTACTTTTACTTTCCCTGTCAGGCGAATGCAATAAGCTATAGAGCGAGACCAAAGTTTAAAATGTCCTTGTTGACAACTTGATACGAAACAAAGTTGCAATGGCGGCCAAAAGGATTTTTCGTACCCGTCCGAATGAGAGTTCTGTGAATTCCAAATTGATCAAAGTTAAAACGGATTTTGAAACATATTAACTCACATGACAAATGAAAGATATACCAATTATAATATTTTACAATTGCTATTCAGAGGCGGTTAGGCTTCGTATAAACAAAAGGTTAGACCCTCAATAAAGCAAGCAACATATTTAAACGAATTACTATAATACTTATAAAATCTATTGACAATTCGTCGGGTAGGTAGTGCACACGGTGCCTGATTTACAGTTGTTAGGGCCCTAGGCTTAATTATGACTGCGCCCGCCTGCCTGTCCTGTCATACCCATGAAGTTATAGTATAAACTGGAGGCCAAACTCAGTACATTTGGGTGAAGCCAAGTAGGTATGACCTCAATTGACCTTTCGTTGGACTTCTGGGTGGCTATCTTATAAATCTAAATTTACCCGAGACCTGCTTTTTAAGCATTTTAAGGCCAGATTACTTGTTCTGAAAAGTATCGATGAAAAAGTTAGCGAATAGGCCGGCAGGTCCCGCCAGGTCAGTTACTGATATAAGTTTTTTTTTTACTCATTACATATTATAAGTAAGCATTTTGTTTCATAAACTTTTTGACAACACTAATAATATGGACTCTGGATAATCGTGACTGACGTTTATATCATAAGACTTGAAAGATTATCTATGAATTAGGTTGTACGTTAAAGCTACTCTCAAATCGAATCCAAGATGAACAATTTATATAAAGGGGAAATTTATATAATTATACATAAATTTATTAACCATAATGTTTAATAAAACATTTAGTAAAAACACTACGCAAATAATACGCTGTAGGCAGCTACTTCAAATAGAAATTAATGACTTTTATCGACTCATTTCAATTTAATTATTTAATATTCCCGAGTTCTTATTAAATCTGGTGAATTATTACTAAAACTTCTTATTTGTAAAATTATATTCCGTAAACAAATGTCCTTGATTAAATCATCGCCTTTTTTTTCTTAATTTCCACATAGTTGTGGTAACCGGTATCCTCAATCAATGGTAACTAGGCATGCGTCCGATATATCAAAACGAATCCAAAATCCGATTTCAAACACAAATCGATACCGAACGATTTCTCAACTAGAAAATCCGATTTCAGAAATCTAACCGAACCAAAACGCTAGCGATCACGTATCCAAATGTAAATCGGATTCGAAATTCGTGCTATCTTTTTTTCTCCGCTTTGTAGCGATTGGTTAGAAAGAGAGAAAGCGAATTTGTTTACAATTTCGAACGTCAGTAAAATTCGCTTTGTCTCTTTCTTACCAATCGTAACAAAGCGGAGTAAAAAAGATGCCGCGAATTTCGGAAGTCCGATTTGGATTTCTTGTTTACGGAAATCTATTGCCATTGAATATGTGCGATCAATATAGTCTTACGACACAGTACTTAAAGACTATATTTGCGTGACTAGGCTGTGAGGTGATGTATTTTGGCTTATATCTTAGCGTGCGTTTGTTTACTACAAAAACTTGGTGCTTTTGTTTAGATGCAAATTTGACCTTGATATGCAAGTGCACGCATGTCAGTCAGTGATTTTTGTTTGCCGGGTTTAGATAATTATTAATTACGTGTTTGTTAAGACTGGATTGGAGTTCAGAGTTCATAAAGATAATAATAATAAGTCAACTTAGTAAATTGTGTACCCACATATTATTGAAATTTTGACGTGACAACGTCTTAAATTAGGTTGCGGCTGGGAGTCACTTATGAAAAAGTGTAACGCTCGGTAACGTTACGATGAGTCTCTCGTGTTAAGTTTAAGTTTACATGTACAATGTTTTAGTAAACAAAATATATTTCTATAGTTAAAAACCACACCAGGCTGGTGCACCACGCGCAGGTAATGTGTGACCCACGCGTGCCCCACCTGCGGGGCATGCTTCACCTACCACGCCGCGCTATACAACCACACCAGGCTGGTGCACCACGCGCAGGTAATGTGTGACCCACGCGTGCCCCACCTGCGGGGCATGCTTCACCTACCACGCCGCGCTATACAACCACACCAGGCTGGTGCACCACTCGCAGGTAATGTGTGACCCACGCGTGCCCCACCTGCGGGGCATGCTTCACCTACCACGCCGCGCTATACGACCACACCAGGCTGGTGCACCACGCGCAGGTAATGTGTGACCCACGCGTGCCCCACCTGCGGGGCATGCTTCACCTAACACGCCGCGCTATACAACCACACCAGGCTGGTGCACCACGCGCAGGTAATGTGTGACCCACACGTGCCCCACCTGCGGGGCATGCTTCACCTACCACGCCGCGCTATACGACCACACCAGGCTGGTGCACCACGCGCAGGTAATGTGTGACCCACGCGTGCCCCACCTGCGGGGCATGCTTCACCTACCACGCCGCGCTATACAACCACACCAGGCTGGTGCACCACGCGCAGGTAATGTGTGACCCACGCGTGCCCCACCTGCGGGGCATGCTTCACCTACCACGCCGCGCTATACAACCACACCAGGCTGGTGCACCACGCGCAGGTAATGTGTGACCCACGCGTGCCCCACCTGCCGGGCATGCTTCACCTACCACGCCGCGCTATACGACCACACCAGGCTGGTGCACCACGCGCAGGTAATGTGTGACCCACGCGTGCAAGTAAATTCTTATTCTTATTTTCATTCAATTCCTTGTTCCTATTGTGCAATTTAATTATATTCTTATCAATAAATATTCTACCGAGAAAAAGACGTTTTTAATTTGTTTTTTTTTAACTGTTGACTTTTTAATTGATTAGACGAGTTTTGTGTTGGTTTTCAAAATATCGTTAATTAATTGTTTGTTATTGTCGTTAGCTAATAAAACCAAATCTTAACACAAACTAGTGAATTGGCTAAGTTAGGCACATCTGAAATCGGATATCTAAAAACGGATTTTGAAATCGATTTTGAAATCTGAAATCCGATATATATCCGTTTGCGTTCAAAACCAAAAACGCCCATGTCTAATGGTAACATCGGATGTGTCAATATGGTGGATGTCAATTTAAAATTTTGTCGACTCGAAAGTTTTGATTCATATTAGTGCGTTTTTCGTTATCAATACGTGAAAAATGGTACAAAAGTGTGTAGTCCTAGGTTGTGGAAGTAAATGGTATCCTGGGTGTTCCTTGGTATTTCACAGGTGAGACATAATTTATCATAAATTGATGATTGCTTACATTTTATTACAAATGTTATTTTTAACATAGAACCTATTATTTTTCGATCATTTACTTTTATATAGTTTCCAAAGTCCTATAATTCAATAGGTTTCAGTAGTAATACTTCAGAATTTTATTACCAAAACAACAGTTGGCATTGTAAAATAAACACTAAAGGGGTGACCATGAAAGGAGGATAAAGGTGATTTTCGTAATATGAAAACCCTCATTTTAAGGATTTTTTTACTAGCAGGTTGATATAGGGCTATTATGATATCACGTTATAATTACATTTAAAGGCATTTGAGCGTTTGTGTTCACAACTTACTTACTAAGCAGGCAGTACCAAGACCTAATAGGCACACATACAGTATCAACAGCGCAGATTGTAAAACACATATGTTACTATATTTTATTCATGTTACATATTTATTGTTGTCTTCATTACTATTAACAATAAAACATGAACTTATTATTTTTATTCCTTTTTTAGTTTTCCTAAGGAGCCAACAAGGAGAAGCCAATGGCTATCAAGTTTAAAATTAAAAAATAAGTTTTATGAAACTGCAAAAGTATGCAGTAATCATTTTGTGGCTACTGATTATATACTGGAGAATCGATTAAAACATACAGCTATTCCCTTTTATTCTGATGTTGTAAGTAAAAATTTATGTATATACTTCAGCCATCTTAGGGAAAGTTTATAAGCAAACCGCCCATACTTAACTTCAAAAGTACTTTGTTATTACATGTTTTAGAAATATTTATTCTTCATTAACAGTTTACTTATATTGTACAAGTCTGATATTTGGCACTAGGTGTCTGGATTTGTAGAAAAATTACAGAGTGTTGAAATTTTTGTTTACATACATTCTTCCCATAAGATCGATGGAGTATCTTTAGATTAGAGTTATAAATCCCGGCAAACTTCTTGAGCAACTACCATAGACTAGGAAGCCTGCGCAGTAAAAATTTTACATACAAAAAGCTCTACTGCGCAAATTCAATTGTCTGTGGTTTTGCTCAAGTAGTTTGCCACTACATATAGTTAGTAGCAAAAAATATATACAAAATAGAGACATCAGTTTATTTCATTTGTTAGCTTGCTTGATCCAAATTTTCATGTACATAAAATAACTGGCTTGAGTATTATTTTAAATAATACCATCATATATTTTAGGATTAATTCCAAGTTGTTATTTTGTAGTCCAGACAGTAATGGGACAAAAAGTAAATATTTCATATTCATATTCTTTTATTGCAGCGTGTTGTATTCACCTATGAATACAACAAGATGCAATAAAAGAAGTTACAGGTATGGTAAGGTTGCAAACAAGAGCCCTGTAAGGGCATGGCAAATTTATAGATATAGAGATTATTATTACAATTAAATATTTTTGACGACCTCCATGGCCGAGTGGTTTGTACGCCGGGTTTCATGGTGTCGCCGACTCGAGAGGTCCCGGGTTCGAATCCCGGTGGGGGCAGATGTTTGTGTGATGAATACGAGCATTTGTACTCCAGTCATGTATGTTTAATATGTATTTCTATATAAATATACTTGTATATGTACAATATATGTATTGTATCCGTTACCCTAGCATCCCATAACACAAGCCTTACAGTGCTTACTTTGCAGCTAGGCTAATTGGTGTGAGTATTGGAAATATTTATTTATTTATTTTATTTTATACAAAATTTAATCACATATCTTTTTAATATTATTTATAAATTAATAAAATTAAACTAACGGCCGCCCATTACTTCGTCCGCGTTAACTTTAGTTCTTTGAGTGTCCCACAGGGACCTAACATTTTTCTGGCATAAAAAGTATCCTATGTAGCAATCCAGGTCATACACTATATGCTTACCAAAAATCCGTTCAGTAGTTTTTGCGTGATTAATACAAATACTGAAACATACAAACTTTCACATTCATAATATTAGTAGGATGTTGGAACATTTGAACATGAAAGATGCACACTTAGTATACATTTTGTGTATCGTTATCCTTGATAAAGAAATAATTAATAATTATTTTGTTTACATATTTATTTTATGATTTTGTATAGTGCATTGTATCCATTTTACTTACTACTATTACTTTTCCTGAT